GCGCGTTAAATATTTGCCGGCGAGAATTCCGCGTCGTTTTCAACGACGACAGGGATACGACGCGCGCCGATCTGCATATTATAATATTTTCGCTCGTGACTAAGGAGAGGAACAGACCGCAGAGAGTCTCTCTTTCTCCGCCCCTCTCCTCCCTTCCCCTCCCCCTCCCCCCTCTCTCTCTCTCTCTCTCTCTCTCTCTGTCTCTCTCTCTTTCTCGACCGCGAGCCGGGAATTCAATCGTGCCGTAAGCGGCTTGCCTCGCAATGTCAATCACAAGCGCGATCATCCTAATAATAATAAAGTATCAACTGGGAGCAGAAGCGAGATAAGGAAAAGGTCTTTACGACGCGAGAGACGTTTGCATGAATAATGAAACGAATCAGGTCCCATTATCCGAGTCACCGTAATAAGTGCATAATGACGGCGGCGGTCGGGGCGAGGAGAGAAGAAGAGAAGGGGAGGAGGAGAAGGACGTGCAACAATCGCAAGGAGAGAACGTTTCTGTAACTGTTGGCGGCCGAAGAAAGCTCCGCCGACGCCCCACGTGACCGCAGCGGGCGCGGTATTGTTTCAAATGGTTGTAGGAAGCCTGATTACCATAATACATACTTGTACTCGTTGCTACGCGCGACAAATCTCTCTCGTTCCCCCTTTCCCTCCCTCTCTCTCTCTCTCTCTCTCTCTCTCTCTCTCTCTCTCTCTCTCTCTCTCTCTCTCTTTACGTCGTTTCGCAACCGATAGATGATGAGCGTTCCTCGGTTTCCGGTGGCCACGCCGACGATGAATTCACGAGACACGTCTCGACGAGACAAACAGAGGGAGGTCGGAAGAAGAAATGAAATAAAGACTCGCGTCGACGACGACGATGGCGAAACGAGAGTCCAAACTCCTTTGAGAAATGAAAGCTATTCCCAGACGCGTGTCTCTTCGTCCGGATTTTACGCGAATCTCGCAAAGTGTCGTTAAAGTCCCCCCCCCCCGACTCCCGAGGGGCTCGCGGCGCTTTTCCGTCTCCCCCGCCGACTGCTCGCTTTATTTTTCCTAACCGTCGCCGACGTTGTGCATACACGGGCTCTAGCGACATCTTGTAGACACGTAGCCGAGGATGCGCGCGATCCCGAGGAGATACCGAGCCGGGCGATTTGCGCGCGCAACGTAGAAGCCCGATTCGTCATGCGAGATGTCTTTTTACGAAATAGCGTTTGTTCGCTGAACGGCTCGTTAGGCGCGCGGCAGCCGTGCGGAGGCATGCGATGTACCTTTAAATCTCGCCTCACGAATGCTAGTCGCTGGCTCGTAGCAAACAAGGCCGCCGCAGCGGCGGCGCGGCGGTCGACATGCGAACGAATAAACGATCGGCGAAGCGCGCGCGCTCCAATCCGAAAAGCGGGTTAATGCTCCCGCCGCACGAAACAACTTCCTAAAATAATCGCGCGGCTTCCTCCGCAAACGCCGGCTCGTCGCGCCGCGCGCGTCCCGGCCGCGATATTCTAAGTGCATTCGCGCGCGCTCAACCCCGCCGAGTCTCAGCACCGTGTTAGCACTCGTGACCGCGAGCGCGAGCTCGGAGGGTTGCGTTTGACTCCATTAAGTGACAGGGACGCGTGCGCTCCGCGTCTGCGGACGCTCCCGCTCGCAGGCTATTAATTATCGCGACTTCCCCCTTCTCACTCCGCGGCGCGAAGCGACGCGGCAATAATTATAATCCCGCTCTCTCGAGTCGACGCGACTTACATACCCCGGAGGTAACCCCGGGGTTAATCCCCCGGCTGGATCGGCCCGATCATTCTCGACGAAATCCGTAAATATCCCGTATTCGTCCTTCGATACGCTCGCTGAGAGACTCGCTGGCACGACATCCCGCAGGACTCGCCAACGCCAGTCACGTTAATGGTGACGGATATCTACCGGTATCCCGAGAAGCTGCCTCGACTCGCGAATTTCCACGGGAATTAATGAGCGGCAAGCGGTAATGCGAGGATTTATTTCCCGAATCTCTCTCTCTCTCTCTTTCTGTCACGCGAGAATAATTGTTCCCTCATCGTCGGACCCATTTGCTCCGAAAATGCGCGAGGGGTGGATTTTCGAACGGCCGTCCGCCGTTCTCCTCGCGGCGCCCGTCGACCGCAGCCCGGCTACGACGTAGCGGCGAATCCTGCGGCGAATTCGAATCCGTTTGGCTGACCCATATTCCTCCTCCGGCGGTGGAGCGTATCCGCCACGTCGAACGCGAACGCTTCCTCCCGTCGCCTCTTCTTTCTGCTTCGTTTTGTTTGTCCCAGCGAAAACTCGATCGCCTGGCGACTGGCGCCAGAAGGATATCATCGCGGCGCGCCTTCGTCCTTCTGCCGGTCGCCGCCGCCGCTCCCCGTCGCTCCGGCCACAGGCGTCGTTCCGACTCCGCGGACGATTCCGCTTTTTTTTCCCCTCCCCGTTCTTCAGCGAAGCGGACTTTCGTCCGGAGGCGGAGCGCATCCGTCGTACCTTTTAATTCGCGCGTCGCATGGCTCTTCTGCTCCGCGACCGGGCCGTCGCATCGCGCGCGAGGCACCGCGCGAGCGAAGCAACAGGTGCGATGCGTAATCGACTGCAATTCTGATAAATCGCCCTATATTTCACGTGGATAATTCTCTCCGGCGAGGTCGTCGGCCGGGCGATCGATGCTGCCGATATCGGCGAGTTAAGCCGCGTGAGGCCCAAGACGACACGTGAGAGCCTCGTTAATCGTCAATTCGTCGCCGCGATATTCCGCCGAGAGAGAGAGAGAGAGAGAGAGAGAGAGAGAAAGAGACGGAACCGAACGCGTCACGTGCGCGTTCTTAATTACAGCTTCTTTCGGGAAACTTGAGGTCTCAGTCTCAGTCTCAGTCGACGAACCTCCGGCTCCTTGCTAATCGCCAGCCGCACGTGCGACGTTTCGATCAGAATTTCAAGTTGGACCCGAGCTGTCCAGTCGACACGCGCTGCATCGTGTTTGCGGTCGCTCGTGGGCGAGCCACGTCTCGCTTCGAATTCAAAGCCGAGCATCTGTCTAGAGACGAGCTTCGGACGACAGCTATCATCACGAGTGTGAGACTTTAAGTTTCATTGAGACGTCATCGACAAGACGAGGGAGAAGGAGGCACGAGGAGGGAGGGGGAGAGAGAGAGAGAGAGAGAGAGAGACAGAGAGAGAGAGAGACAGAGAGAGAGAGAGAGAGAGAGAGAGAGAGAGAGACGAGACGCGACCGCGCACGGTGGTCCCGACTCACAAGAGGCAAGAAGCCTCGCAGCCGCGCCCTAAAGTCGCCGAGTCGTGCAACTTTTATAAATAAGCAAGCGGCGATATACGCGCGACGACCGCGCCGTCGGGATAGTCCGACGGGAAGGATACGCGAAGAAGAGCGCGGCGGCGAACGAGAGTAACGGCGTCGGGCCCCGGCCGACGCTGGTGCCCTTGAATTAATTATTCGATGCCGCCCCGTGTATGAATAATTCACATTTCGGACGGGATGAATCTTGAGCGCGGTGCGGCGGCGGCGGCGGCGGCGGCGGCGGCGGGAACCGGGAAATGGAATTGCCTCTTGATATATCGCCGCCGCCCGTGTGTACACACGGCCGGTGGGCCGAGGTGTGCGCTGCATACCCACTTTGTGGATTTTTCGCTCCGACCCTTGGCCGGGGATGTGTGGCCGGGAAGTTCACTTAGCGCCGGCAGGAGGCAGCCGTAGCCTGATTTTCCGGCTCGTATTTCCCACGCGGGGAAATGACACCCCGGGACTGTCGTGAATCACGGCGGCTTTAACGATAAGTCCTTCGCGGTTATCACCGCGCCGCCGGCGGCCCCGTGTGTTTTTCCCATCGCGAGGGGAAGCGAGGGGGGAGCCGAGGTAGGGATACTCGTGTATGCGTTTGCCACCACTCTGATGCGGTGACTCCGACATATCCCGGCCGATCAGCGTCGCGATCGTTTCTCGGCTCGCGAGCGGACTCGCACGAGGCGGGCGAGGAGGAGTCGAATGCGCGCCGAGGGAGGATCGAGATGCACCTGGGGGTCGATTATCGCGATGATGATTAACACCCGGCTGCGCGTTCGCAGTGGCCGTAGTTGCCAGCGCGACTACAATACACTAACACAAAACAATCCGGCGCGTAACGCGCGTGAATCACGCGTGCCGTGCGTTTCTCCATCTCGCGGCCGACCGGCCGCGTGTCCCTCCGCGGTTGGTGGTCGCGTGTTTGCTTTTACCACTCGACTAATTCCACCTTCCGCCTTTGTGCTGCTCGCTCGCACCCGCTTCGGCGCGGAGCCGAAGTGTCGGACGGAGCGCGGTCGATTTATTACGTGAGTCAGTTCCCGCGACGAGCGGAGCGTGTCCGAGGCGCATTAATTATTATCGCTGTACTTGGGCGGGGGCGAGGGTAGATAGGGAGAGGAGGGGGAGGGGGCAGACAGGCGGTACGGCGGTACCTTTTTTCCTCATTAATCTAACGTCTAACGAACGGTGTGTCACGCTTCGCGGCGATCGCTCGTTTAACCTGTGGAGTTCACGTGCGTTAAATTACAAAGCCGGCGCGCGCGCGCGCGCGCGCGGCGATATCGAGGGAAATGTCAGTACGAACCACTTCTTCGCGAATTCCCTCGGTCGTATTATCGATCGGGGCAATATGGAGGGTTTCGTATGTACACACATCAGACGGAAAACTGCCGGGTTGGAAAACGCCATAATTTACCTCGTTACCGGCGAAACGTAATAATTTACGCGCCGGTGTTGCGTTTCGATCGTAAAGCGGCAAGTCTAGCGAGCCGTGCCAAGTCAGGCGGACCGTGCAATTATCGTGCAAATACTTTGAACGTATCCAATGGTATCGCCTATTGTGGGGAAAGGAAGAAAGATAGAGCGGGGAGGGCATATTCTAGGGTGTCGAGATTGCATTTAATTATGCATCTTTTCTCGGCCGAATGCGCACGATCCTTCGCGGCGCGGCTGATTTAATCCCCGCGATTTTGCACGTTCGCAGGATACTTCGGCAAGTATTTAAACAAGTACAACGGCTCGTACATACCGCCGGGATGGCGGGAGTGGGGCGGCCTTATAATGAACTCGCGCTACTACAACTACAGCGTCAACATGAACGGCAAGAAGATAAAGCACGGCTTCGAGTACAGCCGGGACTATTATCCGGACCTGATAGCCAACGACAGCGTGGCTTTCCTCAGACAGAGCAAACACAATTTCGCCCGGAAGCCGGTAATGCTCGTCGCGAGCTTCCCGGCGCCGCACGGCCCGGAGGACTCGGCGCCGCAGTACTCGCATCTCTTCTTCAACGTCACCACTCATCAGTGAGTACTTACTTATCTACTTATCCACCCATCTTCATCCCCGAAACTTTCGTCGCCATGTTTGAAAGCGCGACAACGACGACGACGACGACGACAAAGACAAAGACAAAGTACAAAGAGACACCGACGACGACGGGAGAAAAATTCGGAAAACCGATTCGTCCGCGCGGTCGACCCAATTAATTAAACTTCCGACAGACGCGGTAATGTACACACAGTTATCATTAATTACAGTTGCAGTTACTAATAAATACTCAAATTTCTCAATATTTCCACAAAACATGCAAGGATGAAGTATAGAAACATTATACAGGGTGAGAAGAAAGTACGGAAACTTTAAAAAATTTCAAAAAATGTAAATTTTACAGAAAAGTGTTTCGGATAAAAATTATAGGCTTTGAAAAGGCTCTATTTGCTGATCTTATCAATTTGATTTTGGATGGTGAAGGTCAGGACAGAGTCAAGTGGAATATTTTAAATGCGACCTCCAATTTTTTATTACATATTCTTTTATCCTTTGTTGAGACGTTTTCAGAACGCTATGATAAAGCTTTCTCCGGTTGAGAATTTCCTGAGATATTTTAAAATTTACCACGATACTTTGTAATATAAAAAATATAAAAAATATAAAAATATAAAAATATGAAATATCTCATAAAATAAAAGAAAGGAAGCCGGCCATCTAAGACAAGATCGGAGGAGCATCCACTTTTTTAAAACGAACAATTAGAGAGTTACTCAAAATTTGTTGTTTTCGTGACTAAATTTTAAAACATCTCAGGAAATTCCTAACCAAAAAAAGCCTTCTTATCATAACGTTCTGAAAACGTCTCAACAAGGGGCCATAAAAAAATCGGAGGTCGCATTAAAAAAATTCCACCTGACCCCCCGTCTTGACCTTCCGGCAACGCCATCCAAGGTTAAATCCACACAGGATCAATAAATAGATCCTTTCAATCCCCACAACTTTTATTCGAAACATTCCTTCTTCCGTAAAACCTAACCTAACCTGACCTTTCGAGACTCTTCAGGATCTTTATATTTTCCCCTTACCCTGTACAGACCCGAACCGTTACATTCTATTTGCGAGAAAAATCAAACTGTATCTCTTTCCGAGACACTCTATTGGAGGGCTGCCGACGATGCGCGCAATAAAGTTGTCGCGAAATAAGCGCGTTATACCGCGAGAAGCCGTCTGTCGACACCCTCGTCCGATCTGGGTAGCCCTACGGTTACATCAGCCGCGGTTCGATCGTCGCGTCGCTCCCACACCACGTCCTTCTGCGACCAGTTACCAGCTCCTTATCACCCTTACGGCCTGCACGACCGAACGTGACAGTCGCGCGGCGACTGTGCAGCCGACATGCGGTGGGAAAATTCAAAGGAGCGTTCACGCGCGATTACCACCGCTCATGGTCGTTACATTCCGCATCGATCGCTATTGATATCGAGCCGGCTTGTTCGCGCCGATGCTGCCATGACAACCGCGGCAACTTCATCGAATCGACCGACGCTCGTCGTCTGTGTATGCCGACGCGGTGGCAGCCGCGGCTATTATTTTTCGTTGTTGCGACCGCTTTTGCGCTCCCGATAACGCACCTCGTCGCGCTCCCGAGCACAATGAGGATTGTCCTCGCGGAGGAGAGAGAGGGAGAGGGAGAGGGAGAGGGAGAGGGAGAGAGAGAGAGGGACAAAGAGAGAAACGAGAACGCGAGCGCGATCCTCCCCTCGACGTCGCCGGACCCTTTTCCGCACCCTTCAATCTTGTGTTCAACAATACGACGAGCGTCGCGTCGCGTCGCGTCGTTGAACGCCGAACTCGCTGAATCCGCGCGAGCGCACGAGAGCGCTCTCGCGCGCGTTTATCACCCCGTCGTTCGCTGAAAATCCGCGGGCGTAAGGCGATGGCGACAGGGGACGGAAAACGCGCGCCGCCGGACGCAAGGAACGCCGGGGTGGACTTTGAAAAGTTCGCCGTCGGCGCGGCAGAAATGGTTCTCTCCGAGCTGACGGGGACGGTGGTGACGACGACGACGACGACGACGACGACGGCGACGACGACGACGACGACGGCCTCGCCGGCGCGACGACGTCGTCGTCGAGTGACAGAGTGCCCTACACCGAGGGAAAGGGAAAGTCTGAAAAGCGCTGGAAACGCCCGTCCTTAAAACCGGCGTCCTTCCTCGCGCCCCCGTTATTGTGCGGTCGCGACGATACCGGCTGTTATCACGCGCGCGTACCCGCGGCGGGAGGGAAGGGAGGGAGGGAGGAGAGGAGAGGAGAGGGGTGGCGCTCAGGGTGAGCCGTGCGCTCGCGAGAAAGGAGCGCGCGGACGCTCGTTCCGCCGGGAATTTTGTTTGTTCGCCGCGTCGACAGGCGCGTCGCGACGGAACGTGTCGGCTGGACGCGACAATAGGGTGCACCGCGCTAAATAATTGGCCGCGCGAGGAACATTAGCGGACAATGCGGCTTTTCCGCTGGACGACGCCGGCGAATCTGACGCCGTCGCGCGCGTTTCCTGCGCGTCACGCAGGCCGCAAATGACGCGGCCGCTCGGAAGCCTGGGGAAAATGTCTCGAAGGGAAGGGCTTTTCGAGGAGACTGGGGACTGCTTTTCCATCGTGCTGTCTCGTCGAGGAATGTCTCGAGGAGAATACGTCGGGCTTTTCAAAAGGAGTTTCGGACAGCTTCCGAGAAGAAGACGAGGTCTCTCTTCCTCTGCTCCCCTTTCCCTCTTTCTCTCTCTCTCTCTCTCTCTCTCTCTCTCTCTCTCTCGTCCGTGAGGGAAGATTTCGACGAGAACTTTGTGGCCGAATTCCAAGAGATTTTCCGGGATTTTTCCGAACGGACGCCCGTCAAAGCTCATCACCGGTCCATGGAGGATGTCACCGAGGAAGCTAGCGAGACGAATAGTCGCGTTTCACAGCGCGGAAAAGAGCAAAGCTAACACCTCGGCGTTGTAAATTGTATTTAATGACGACGCGACACGTCTCGCAGCGCTCGCGCGCTCGCGTCATTTACGCGGCGGGACAGTGACCGACCGGGCGTTTTAATATCGAGATTTTCATTCCGCGCTCGTATATCACAGCAGCGCGCGCGCGCGCGCCACTCAAAAGCTAATCGACAGAAATTAATGCGCCGAGCGCGCGACATCCATGGTAACGTGGCTTTCAGGGCGCTTTTATCGGCGCGCCTTTAAGCAGTCACCGGCCGGCCGCTAATCCAATTCCCGGCCGATCAAAGGCCGATGTTAAGTGCATCTCGCGAGACAACTATTAGAAATTAATAGTTCCCGTTGTGACGGGATGGTTTGACGGTAATGGTGTCGTGCGCGCGCGCGCGCGCGCGTTTATTCGTTCGTAACTTCGCCAGTGCTCTCCCACTCCTTCCGAAACGTAATCCGTACATCGCTCAATTTTTCGAACGCGACCATATCCTCTCCCCGTTCTCGCCGGACTTGATGACCGTAATTAATCACGCTCGCGGACGGATCCATTTGTCATCTCGCCGAGTGCATCATCGCTGCGAGCCAACAACCGACGACGACAATCTTGCGCGCGACTCTTTTCGCCCTCCTCGGTCACGAATCTCGATAAATAAGGTCAAGAGGGATGTCTATCTATTCTCGGACATCTCGTGTGAGAGAAGAGAGAATCTCGCGAAGAGAGAATGCGACGGTCTCAGACGCGCGTCTGCAAGTTTCACGAAAGGACGACCTACGTGCGCGGCAGCGAACAAGCGCGCCGGCGAGCGTTGCCGCGGCCTCAGCGGGATAGGATAACGTTTGCGTTTTATCGTTTTTCCTCGCCAAAGGGAGAGAGGGGTGGAATGTAAAGTTTTATCGTGCGGCATTGTCGCGACTAAGCGCAAACTCGCTAGCCGCGCCGGCCGGCGCGTTTATGAGCCTCGACTCGCATTCGCAGCCGCTCGTGCGCGGCGCCTCCATTTGAATTTCATGCACGCGCGGCGGCCGGTCATCGCGAGTGTAATTGAAAAGTGGGCAACCTGTATGAGCGCGCGAAAAATACCGCGGAAATTGCCCGCCGGAGCCCTGCCACGCGTTTTGAAAACATAACATTGCGCCACGCGCTGCCGGAATTCGCAGAAATCGGCCGAACGACGCGCGACCGACGCGAGTTTCGACATTTGTTTACGATCATGATTCGCGCTTCGTTTGTGCGTACGTTATGATTCGCGACTTTTCGCGGCACGCTGAGCGACCGGAATGACGAATTACCACGAACCCGGAATTTGGAATTTGGATTCTACATTGACACCGCAGGCGGAATTTGAATATCTGAGTGTAAGACTGCGGTAAACGAAATAATAACTCGTTGTCGTCCCTCTTTTCACGTTGAGTTTTGAAGAGACTCATTTCCCAGACATTTCATCCGCGTTTAGGCTTTATTCTTAATCTCAACGACCAATTAATTATGTAACTTGCTAACTGTAGACGCACAGAGTGTTTATGTGAAATTAGCAAATATTAAGTAATTCATACAAGGTGAGCAAAGGAATAAACTTTCTTTGTCCGTGAATGTTTTTCTACTTTCTTCATCGGCGTTTATTTGGAAATTCCGATGGAATGTGCAGAAACAAACAGACCGATATAGGAATTGTAAAGAAACAGATATAGCAACCTAGTCCGACAATGCTGTGTACCAACCGGATATTTAAATCTAAATTCAATTCAACAACAACGCTAAACAATAGCAGAGGAAAAAGCGTCGTCAAGTCCAAAACGAAACGGTTGCGGTGCAAACGCACGAGAATCGGCAGCAAAGCCGATTCTCATAATTGCACAAATCATTCACGATGTTTGATTGAAAGCATCCACGGGCCATCGGAAGCAACCATTATGCTCGCGTTATAGTAAATAAATAAACACAAGTGTAAACAGATCGTCGCGAATAGTCAGATATCCCCACAGCTATAATTACTGCTCAAATGATCACGCGCTATGAATGCCGGCATCAAATTCGACTCGGGCTCGCCGGTCGTCTGTTCAGCTCGAAAACGAGCCGTGTAATAAATGACTGACATACCTGGAAATGCATGAGGCATCGCTGTCATCGTCCTGGCGCCCCTTTCTCGCATCCAGCATCCCCCCCCCCCGGCTGCTCGGTCGTGGACTCTCCTCTTGGCACCGACGTACGGTCTCTCTCGTGGACACGCTGACACTGACACCCGCGCTGACACGATTCGATCGGACGAACGAGCGTTAATGAACGTCGCCGATTAAACCTCACCTCGGGAACGGCGACGGCAATGCTGACCGGCTCGTGCCGACGCACGTGGCCCGCGTCGCGTGTTCGTCCTTCGTCGGCCCAGGACGCAATGACTCGGTCGCGAAAAAGTGTACACGCACCAAAACAATAGAAACGAAAAGAACCGCGCGTCATCGGCCGTCGCTCGCTCGTTCACCGAACGCCGCGCTGGTCGAGGGACCAAAACAATCAACACCTGTCACCGACACTCTCTCACTTTCAAGTCGGCCAGACTCACCTTCGTGTACGTGCGCACGTGTGTGTGTGTGTGTGTGTGCGATTCCGAGTGATTCGCACACACGTTGCGATGTATCGACATACGCGGTGTTATGCGTTATCGATATCGATACGATAACCGATATGACAGTCGATACGTGTGTTTGGCGTTATACATTGATGTCATTCTAGATCGGTTGATTTCAGCGATCTTTAAAACATTGAATCGAGTTCTCGTGCCGACATCGCGTAGTTAACAAATCTTTCTTCGAGTTCTCGTATCTGCGCGAGTGTCAGTGCCACATGAGCGAGGATCCGGAACGATGGAGCGACCGGGATCAGAGTGCCAGATCGGCAAGCCAGGACGAAGGACGCACAGGAGGACGTTCAGCGGTACATTTCCACGTGCAATCGGTCGCTTGTTTATTTATTATGAAAGAGCTCATTCGTTGTGTGTGTACAAGTCACACGCTCAATCTGCAGTTAAACAGATCACATATAATTCTGACTTACTAAAATACTAAAATAAAACTTACTAAAATACTTAAGTAAATAGCTTACTAAAATAGGCTTACTAAAATAAAAAAAAAAAGAGAATAGAAATTAAATTGAGACAATGGAACATGAAATAATTCCAAAATAAATCCCCCTTAAAATTGCAAACCTGGAATAATTGAAACGACGGTAAACAGTTGCTTGTAGCATCCAATGGGGGGCAACGGTACAGCATTGCATCTCGAGACTTTTCATTGGCTCCCCGAGTTGGACGGAGTTCGCAGCGTTAATACGTATAGAACGCACGCGAATGTCCACTCAGAAAGGGATAAAATGAAGTACTAATTACACGCGGTCAATTCACTCGTCACTCGGGCCGCGGGAACGTTCGCGCTCCATTCTCGCCGGATAATTTGTCCGCATAAATGTCCCGCTTGGCAAAAGAAGCAGCAGAACGACAGGAGGAGGGAGGGAGGCCGGTGAGACGAAGGAGCGCGCGAAAGAACACGGCAGAGAGCAAGCGATGACATTCGTCTGGGTGTAAATATAATTCGCGGTGTCTCGCGGGCGAGTTAAGTGGCCGTGGCGAGACGGTAAATGCAGAATAGGTCGCAATTAAGGAGTCGAGACGAGACGTGCGCGCGCGGCGGACCGCGCGAGTCGCGACGTCGCGTTTCCCCTTTCGGGACTGACGCGGCCGGATTGCGCGTTTTGTTTGAAATTTGCATAAAGTACGGCCAATTTATGATAGCGCTTGCTCGTTCGCGAGAGGGGAAGAAAGAGACAGGGAGAGGGAGAGAGAGAGAGAGAGAGAGAGAGAGAGAGAGAGAGAGAGAGCAAGCGAGAGAGAGAGGGAGAGTCGAGAGGCCGCATGATAGAATTAACGTGGACTGTGAGCGAGAATCAAGGAATCCCCCTGCTCTTTCCTCCTCGCCTCCACCCACGTCTCTCTCTCTCTCTCTCTCTCTCTCTCTCTCTTCTCTCTCTCTCTCTCTCTCTCTCTCTCTTTCTGCGCTCAAGTACTCGGCTCCTTCGCCTCCGCTCTCCTCCGGCTTCCTTCGGAAACCATCTGCTTCGGTTTCACCAGACCATGACGCGATCGAATCGCGCTAAGGATGCAGTTTGGAGGATAAAATTTCGGCCCCCCTCCCACCCCTCCCGACAAGGGTGCTCTTTCGCCCTTGAGCCCTTCCTGAGCCCGCGGAATATTTACTTCGTTTCGCGAGAGAATGACATTTTCGGATGCGTATTCGTAGCGAAGGGGAATTTCGATCTCTTCCACTTTTCGTTCGTTTTCTCTAAAATTCGGAGCGGACACGTATAACTAGGCAAGAGAGCCATTCTTGCGCGGCGCATCTCGCACGAAGGATCCGTTGATAATAGGATCAAGACGATAGAGGAGAGAGAGAGAGAGAGAGAGAGAGAGAGAGAGAGATCCTGTGTGCGGTACGAGCGCTCCCGAAGGACGCGGAGGAGAAGGTGAAGGGCCAATTACCTATAATTTCGTGTTTCGCGTAATTGGAGGAGGAGAAAGAGGCGACGGAGCGACGACGACGACGACGACGGCGGCGACCGCCCGTCTCGAGAGTCCGTCCGCTCTGTGTACTCCAGTACCCGGTGATTCCCTCCCATCGGCGATCTTTCGCGTCTCGTTGGCCACGGGGACAGAGGGCGGGGTGATTAATTCAATTTAGCCTAGCTACCGAGGATTCCAGGGACAAACTATGCTGCACGCTCCTAAATCCCGACCGCTTCTCGTTAAGACCTCGCTACACCAGCCACCGGCGGACCGCGATTGTGATTAAGGGCGACGCGACGCCGCGCTGCCGACGGTGGCGGCGTAGCTGGATTAGCTATCGGGGGATTCCTCGCGCAGAGAGACGGCAAATCGCGCCAAAGCCGATTCACTGGAGAAGCGTTGGAGCCGGGGAATCGCGGTCGTCGGTCGAAATCGTAAATCGTGCAAATTGAATTAAAGATCGTCGCGCGAGTGCTGCGGGAGGTAGACTGGAGAAAGACGGAGCGTGGGAGCGAGCGAGACGGAGGGAGAGGGGGGGAGAGAGAACGTTTCCATAGCCGAAGGGTTCGTTCGTATTGTCAAAGGCTCGCGAAACTATTCGCAGCTCGAATTTCTCCTCTGCCACAACGACCGAGGCGGCGGAAGTTTGATTATTATTGCACACAGCTCAGTTGCTCGACTAATCACCCCTAATTACTTGACTAATTAATAAGACCAGTGCGCGCGCGCGCGATCCTCTTGCGCATTTCAGCACGCCGGCGTACGATTACGCGCCGAATCCCGACAAGCAGTGGATACTTCAGGTGACGCAGAAGATGCAGCCCATTCACAAGCAGTTCACGGATCTCTTAATGACGAAACGGCTTCAAACTCTGCAGAGCGTCGACGCTGCAGTAGACAGAGTACGTACCGCCTCTCTCTCTCTCTCTCTCTCTTCAGTATCTCATCGAGCTATTTATACACGGAGGCTCCTCCGGCAAAAGGAGGGGCTAATATCGCAAAAGTATCTCGCCGCTATGAAAAGCTTCCGACAAGTCTGTTATATTGATCTCAGTTCGCATGTTCGCTCGCGTAGATTTATCAAGAACTGAAGGACCTGGGCGAACTGGATAACACGTACATTATTTACACGTCCGACCACGGATACCACCTCGGACAATTCGGGCTCATCAAAGGCAAGAGCTTCCCGTTCGAGTTCGACGTGAGGGTGCCGTTTTTAATCAGAGGCCCCGGCATCGAGGCTGGATCCGTGTAAGTCTCTCTCGATTGCGTGTACTTATCGGGTCGATGCGAAGGACTCGTCCCGTTCTTCCGTGAAATTCCCGCTCGCTAGGAAGCTATCGCGAGCCGGGTATTAAAGCGAGAAGTGGGAGAGCTCCGAGGGAATATCGAGTCGAGCGACGGAAAGAGAGATGTTATTTCAGCGGTAAAAATTCTTAATACCTCGAGGATACCGGACGAGAGAGAGAGAGAGGGGGGAGAGAGAGAGAGAGAGAGAGAGAGACTCTCCTTGATTTTCCTTCGCGAGCACGACAGAACTCCACTCTCGCATCGACCTAACGATAAGTCCAAGAGCGACTAAGCCCCATTATCGAGGCTCAATTACGCGCTTTTCTCAACGGCCATTCAATTTAATCGATCCCTCCCCCCCGCTCCCCGCTCTGCAGAAGTCTCTTTCGACGCGCCGACGTTTCGAAGGCGAGGAAGCGGCGCGCGCCGTGCTTCGCGCCGATCGCGTTAATTTCACTTTCGAGCGGGCCGATGAGCGTGCCCTGCGTCGCGGATAATATGTAATTATGCCGATCTGTACATAAATCCTCTGTCCCGAGGGGATAACACGCGAGCGGCGAGCAATAATTCGTCGACCCGCCGCGACGCGAGAGATCCGTTGCCGTGGCTCGACGTCAAAGGTACAATCCGCTCGTTCGCTCGAACAGCCCGCCAGGACAATTTCACGGCGGACTTAATTGAGCACTTGCCTGTAAGTGGCCGTCGTCCGGCCGTCTCTCGTTGCGAGCCTCGGCTATGAGGCCGAAAACATGATCGATTATCGCGTCGCGGAGCGCGTCAGGCGAAAGCGCGAATCGCGAAAAAACGGCTGCGGTGTATCGCAGGTAACAAAAAGATGACTGTGGCACTCCTGTGACTGAGTCGGCGACACGCGCGAACGCGAGCTCGCGAGCTCGCGATCGTTTCACCTGGGAGTCACGGCGCTTCTGCGATCTCGCAAATTGGCCCGCTCCCGAAAAAAAAAAGAAAAAATAAAAGGAGAATACCGCGTGTGAAACGCGGTGTCTCTCACAGGCGACAGCAGACTGCTCTCCAAAAAAAAATCCGGTTTCGCTCGCTAATTATACCAACTGGAACGCGACGCACGCGCGGGCTTGTCTTACGCTCGGAGGAGTGTTTAGAAAAATGATATCGTCGCCTCTTCGGGAACACACGAGGCGACAGGAAAGAGTCTCCTTACCGGCGTTACTCGAAGACCCGGGAGGCGGAGAACGAGCGAGTTTCGTCGCGCTACCTGTCCCATTTTACCTGTATTCCCATCGTGTGAGACCGCCTCTCGCCGCGCATGCCAACGTCGGTGTAGAGTTATCTGCAAAAATGAGAAAAACGTGCCTTAAATATTCGAGAGGGAGGCAGCGGAGGAGAGAGAGAGAGAGAGAGAGAGAGAGAGAGAGAGAGAGAGAGAGAGAGAGAGAGAGAGAGAGAGAGAGAGAGAGAGAGAGAGAGAGAGAGAGAGAGTAACACGGGCTCTGGAACTTTCCCCGCGCGGCAAAAAGTCACGGCAAAAATTTGAACGGCGGATCTGCCTAACGTCACAGGGAGGGCTTGGAAATCGCTCGGAGAGCGAGCGTCAATAAAAGTTCTTCATCGCGAAGTGGTTCTCAGGTACCGTCGCCGGAGTGCAACCACATGGCCGTAAGAGAGTTTATAGGATATATACGCGCGCGACACGCTGCGAGTCATTACGGACGCCGTCGCGGCCGCGAAACGCCTTCGGCCGCTCGAGAGAGACAAATAAACGAACGAGGCGATTTCGCGAACGGGTGCGCCCGCGTAATGTTGCCATCCACGTTGCAGAGTAGACGACATAGTTCTGAACATCGACCTGGCGCCGACGTTCCTCGACATCGCCGGCGTGGAGACGCCGCCGCAGATGGACGGTCGCTCCTTCAAGAAACTCTTCCTCAAGTGAGTATTCTCTAGGCCCTTCGGCCCGCATTCGCTTCACACGCTTTCCTCGTTGAATCGTCAATCGCATATGTATGCGTGTCTCTCTTGCGCTTTCCGTTCCCTTCAACCGGCGGGATCCCCGGTTGAAGGTTGCTCGAGAGACCGCTCTCGATTCTCGTTGCTCGTTCGCGGGAATCCTACCTACGGAAATTTTTGTCCGATCGTTTCTTCTCCGACGAAGTCCTCCTCTTTCAAGGGAGGGTACAGATTTATTTTCTCAAGTCCGGCGGCCAAACGCGGCAACGCGATTCGTCACCCCCGTGTCCTGAGAGGAGCTAATCATTTATTATCGTACGTCACGTCGCGCGCGCGATTCCCACGCAGGCGACGGGACGCTTCCGACGTAGAAAGGTTTAACGACGTTCCGAAACGCCTAATCTTAACGCGGGTCGCGTTAACCGGATTTGCAGCCGTAGCGAGTGAAATTACTGCTTTTATAACTTCATTAATATTCACCCCAACTTTCTCATTTAATTAGCACGAAGTTACGTTATTAAAGCGGACTTTCCGCGGCGTCACTTTTTGTAGGCTCCGCTTCGCGCGGCTAGTTAAAATTTCCGTCTCTTGTAACTCCGTTGTAAATTATTATAACATTAGTCATTTCATTATGCGCGAGGTGTGTTCCCCCTCTCTCGGTTTTCTCTCTCTTTTTTTCTCTTCACCTTCCCTCCGACCTCCTGCCGACCTTTCGCGTCGTCGATCGCCTTTCGTCCGTATTTCGTCGGTAAAGCCAAGCCCGCTGTTGCAGTAGCAAGCACGGCAGAAGGTCAAAGTTCAAGTGGCCAGACACGTTCCTCATCGAGTCCTCCGGCCGCCGTGAGACCCCGGAATCCATCGCCGAATCGAAGGCGCGGGAGGCCAGGAGGCAAAACGCCACGCAGAGCAAACAGTTGGCAAGCTCGACGCCCGAGGAGGAAGACGACAACGTCGCCGAGCCGGACGTCGATGTCGAAGCGGAGCATCGCTTCACGGACAACGACACCGGCAGCGACCAGGATATCTCGGAGGACGAGGACTTTGAGGACTCGATAATCGACGAAACAAGTGAGTCGTCGTTCGTTTAAGGGGACTGGAGGGTCATATTGCTGAAAAATCGTGCTTGTTTTTGATAATATTTTGTGACGAGCTGAATAAATGTGCAAGAATGAAAATTTTAGGTATAGTTATACAACATATGAAGAAAAATAGAAGAATTTTGTTGATTAACAAATATTCGTATAAATATACATCGATATATATAGCTGAAATATACTCTCCTTTTCTTTTTCAAGTTATCGTTTTTGCGATATCTCAGCTCTCGGTGGTCCGATCAGAGCGAATTTTGGCTAGAAATCTTGAGGAGGCTTATCATTATCCGGTGAACCACTAGAAGAAAGAATCGAACAAAATTAACAAACTGGTAGCTATTATTAGGAAAAAATTAAAATTTTTCAGTTCTTTTACAATAAAAACATTAATATCTCGAAATTAAATATTTTAACGGAGTTCTCCATGGTTCACCTCCATGGAGTTCACCTGAGAGCCACATGAACAAATATATTATTGCTTTAAAATTTCAAATCGATACGAAGCTCAGTTTCGGAGAAATCACTGCAAAAAGTTAAACAATAAAATTTCGAGAAAAACGCGTTTAAAATTTAAGTGTACGTATATTTATATGAGTATTCGTTTAAAAACAAAATTTTTCTACTCTTCATATGTTATATAAATATATGCAAAATTTTCATTCTTGCACATTTATTCAGTTCGTCACAAAATCATTATCAAAAACAAGCACGATTTTTCTTCAGTAATCTGACCCTTCAGTCCCCTTAAGCTCGAGGGCCGAAAGACTCAAAATTGCTCTAGCGGCTAATGAAACACTTTACACACTTTGTGGACATGAACCGAGGCGTCTTTTGCGTAAACCTTGCAGCGGCGCTTCTCTCACCTTTCAAACAGCTGGATTTAAAAACTGCGACGTATAATCTCAAAAATTTCGCCCGCCACATTGGATCCGTCATTTTGAATTTCGTATTTTTCACACCGGATTTGTATTCGGCGACCCTATTCGAGAACCCCCGAGTACCAACAAAGTTTCACGAAGTTACATTCATTAGAACAAAAACGTGCAACGAAGGGTTAAAGCTGTCGTGTCAGTTGGTGTATTGGCAGTCAAGCCCCAAAACCCGTCATATGCAAAATATATCTATGCAAAATACATTGCAAAACGGTCTATCTAGACGGACCGAGATCAATTACTTTCTAGCTTTCAAAAAAGAAAAGAAAAAAATTAATTCGCCGCAATTTCGGCCGAAGACTCGATCGAACACCGTAGAATCGCTACGTAGATCTCGCGGGGTTCCCGGATAGATACCTCGCGGTTCCCCAACAGATGCTCTGCGCGATGGCGGCGGCGGCGGCGTGGCATTATAAAACCTACCGTTACGCCAGATGCTGTACGTTGCGTATTACGCGCGTGTACGCGCGCGGAGGAACTCGTTCCTTCCCCGGTGAGCATTAGCATAAATACCCGGTCCCGGGGATTGACGGGGCGCATCTCTCCTCTCTCTCTCTCTCTCTCTCTCTCTCTCTCCCTCTTTCTGCCTTCTTATTTCCCTGCCGAGATTATCGGACGGCCGCACTTTGTCACGGGGATATTTTCGGCGACGGCGAAGTGAAAGCGTTCTCGCGTCCTCGCGTATGCACGTACACGCGGCTGGGTCGCGTTTTTCTCAACGCCGCTTGAGAAACCGCTCTTGATCGTCGTCGTCGAAAGCGGGAGTTTCCGTTGTCCCCGAGGACCGCGCGCGGCGCGTCACGTTTAGTTTTACGGGTGTTGCTCGCAACAGATCCCTCGCGGCTCCGTGCGTCTGACGTCGTAAACGCTCTCGACAGGTTACACGCGAGTGTCTCCCGCTGGAGACCGGCGGTTTCCTGCCGGAAAAGCTATCTTCGCGTGACGCCTCGAAGTTTCTTCGCTGCGAGACGCGCTGGTACCGAAGGCGCAAGGTTTCCTAGACGCGTGCGCGTGAGAAACATCAGCCTCGTAAATGAAGAAAGACCCGCGCAGCAGCCCCGAGCGCGCACCGCTGATGGAGGGTCTGACTGACCGAGTAAAGCCAGCCATTAACTTTCGCAGATACGGACTCGCACCTCGACAACAGGGTGCACACACCCCTGTCGACGAAGCACGAGCGGCTCGCGGCCGAGTGCTCGCGGCCGGAGGTGCAGACCGATTGTCTGCCCGGGCAAAAGTGGCGCTGCGAGTGGGACGGCCACCGCTGGCGACGGCACAAATGCAGGTACGCGGCACCCCCGCCGCCGCCGCCGCCGCCGCAGAGGGAGTCGAGGAAGTGCGCCTGCTTCACGCCGACCGGCGTGGTCTACACGCGGCTGGAGTCCAACAGTTACGACGGCCAGAGATACGGCTTCCCGCGGGAGCGCAGACCGGCCGATCCCTACGGCGACGTGCCGCGGTACCTCGCCAAACGAGGTAAACGTGTTTTTAACAAGAGCGACGCTAATGAGTCGGCGCGAGTCGCATTGTCCGCGTTGCACCGCATCGCTGATGCAACTCGTGCATTTCTCCCCCCACCCCCGATTCGTCACGAAATGTTATCTTCTGCAGGCAAGCGAGAAGCGGCCAACGCTAGCGTGCTGGATCGGGAGCCCGACGAGGAGCTCGAGGTCGACCTGCAGCTGGAGCACGGGCGCGACAGGCGCGCGATCGACGAGGAGGACGACGAGGACTTCATACAGGAGTTGGAGCTGCTGGTGAGGAGACGACATGCGAGCGCGCGAGACAGGTACGAAAGCAAGCAATCCGTCCAGGTCGAGGAGGAACGTGTCCTGGCCAGGGCACTTGGCACTTGTTTTAAACTTTTCGTTTTATGACAAAAATTTTAAGCACGTCCTAAACATTCGTTTTTTTTTAATATTTTTTAAATATTGTCTTTTTTAAGTATTTAATATAAATTTGGGATGTAAAATTATTGGTGACGTAAATTGATCTTTTCACAAAATACCTATTTTCCACGTTCCTGCAGTTTGCTTTTAAATAATGAAATAATTGAGAAAAAGTTTTCGTATTAAATTAAACTAAATTAAACTAAATTAAATTCGTATTAAACCGACTACACCCCGAGCCGCATCAAAAGTCAAATGTTCAAATTGCTAAAAATCAAATGCATACACGTTTGCAACATACTTTCCATGTTTTAAACATGTTTTTTGTGTTTGTTTAAAACATATTTAAAACATAAAGACAGTTAAAAAAAGCATGTTTTGTTTTTTTTATTTCAAACATGTTTTTCATCAACCCTGATCTCGTTTGCCGAACCCTCATTTGCTCGCTGTCGTCTCAGGAACACGCGCGGCAATGCGACGGGATTCGACGACGACCACGACGTCGGCTGGGACGACATGCTCGACGTCGTCGAGCAGCGGGCTGCTGGCTACTACTCGCTCGACGACTTCGACCTCGCGCTAGACAAGGTCGTGAAGGGTCGGTTGAACGTGGACGACGTGATCAAGAGGCACCGAAGGGTACGGAGGAGCGCCACAAAGAAGGACACCATCGAGCACGTGACGAAGATCATGGAGAGCATAGAGGAGGAGTTGGACGACCTGAAGGTGAGCGCCGCGCGACCGCGCTCTGCGTCTCGTCGAATGAAAGACCGTCGTTTTGTCCACAGCAAACTCAAGCCCGCCACTCGTCCGACGTGACGAAGACACCGAAATGCCTGGTCTTGCCGGAGGGCGGCGTCAATTGCACCGAGGCCGTCTATCACGACCCCAACGAGTGGCGGATATCCAGGCGGGAGATCGAGCAGCAGATACGGAAGATGCGCGAGCAACTGGAGACGTTGAAGGTAAGTCGCGCGACAAGGACGAGTCGTCACGGCCCCACGGGGAAACACGGGGATGTCGAGCTAGCCTTCGGGAGCTCTCAATATCCCCGTTGCCCGACATTGAACTGACTCCAGTACTACTGCATCGTCGTAGGAGATTCGCCGGCACCTGATGAAGAAGCGGCCGCAGTTCGTCGCGGACAATGAGGAGAAGCTCTCCGACGCGGAGGAGACTCGCGGCTCACACAGACCGTACCACCACTCCCCGAAGGGTCACACTAGCCGTCACCATAAGAAATACGACAAGCCCATCCATACGAGCGCATCTACGGAGCCCACTGCGACGGATACGAGTGCGAGCAGCGCACAGGTTGACGAGAAGCCCGCGTCGACGGCGAAGGAGAGGCTCGAGAAACACAGCACGACAAACGCCGCCGAGAGCGGGTCTTGGCCCGGGACCAATGGTGTGACCGAGACGCCGAGCAACTCGGCGACGGCGACGGCGAGATCGAAGAAACCGCCGCGTCGGCAGAAGCCGAAGGAGACGGCGACGAACCGCACGGAGGCCGAGGAGGACAAGCCGCAGCGACGCAGGAAGACGCATCATCATCGGCGGAACAACACGCTGCTGACCAACAGCGTGCACGACGACGTGGGGCCGCGCGCGACGCAGCTCAATGTCACCGTCGCCGACAACACCATCGCGACATCGTCCACGCAGGACGCCGCGACTCGCGACTACTCCGGTGAACGCGACTTCACCACTGTGCCCGGCACGCCGACGACGACCTCGCGGGCGACCACCGTGCGTTCACAAGCGGTCGCTGACGTGGCCCGAGGCAGCAATGATCTCCAGTACGAGGATCGCACCGGGGAAGCGACGGCCACCACCGAGCAACCGACGAGCAACGCGACCACCACCTCGTCGCAGACGACGGATGACCAGAGGACCAGCAACCCGGTCGGAAAATCGACCGCCAGTACTGATCGATCGCGAAGCACGCCCATCGCCACGGTATCGGTCACGGCGCCGACGACCACGCAGCCGTTGAGGAAGTACACCAGGCTGCAGAAGAACAGGACCTCCGGGATCCTTGCGCCCGCCAGGATAGACGTGACGATTCTCGAGGCGCCCGGCAGGAGGCACAAGCAAGGTGAGCGAAGTCGCGATTGTTCCCTCTCGAGCGAAGCGCGCTTCGGTGCTTTCGTAACTTTTCGTCTCACACGGGAGAAAACATGATCTCGGTTCGTGTAGGAAGCCAGTAGGAACTGGACGAGGGTCCGCTGAAGCGAGAAGAAAAGGAGAGAGAGAGAGAGAGAGAGAGAGCGAGATGCTCTCAACTGATTGATTCGTACGACGGCCGGTATCGATCGCCGCTTGAAACTTGTCCCATGTGAGATATTCGAGTCTGGAGTTGGTTTTGAGTTTTCTATGTGAATCGTGTAATATGCACGCGACATTACTTCTGCCATCGTGATTCACCTGAAGAACTCGCATTCAACTCTAGATTGAAATCTGGATGTCCTACTTGCAGCAAGTTTCAAGGAACGAATATTAATGCGAGTCTAAAGTTCGGTTGAGATATCTGAAAGCTAATCGGGAAGCTCTTGCGGGAACCTTCCGTGTCCTTGCAACCCGGGTTGTCCCCGTTTTTGGTCCCTACTCTTCTCATGCAACGAGGAATTCAGTTAAACGAACGGAACTGTTCTTTTCATCCGAGCAGGTGCAAACGCGAACGGTAACAGCGGCCGGCAATCTGCGGTGCAGAACGGCCCGTTGGAGCCGCGATACAAGTGCTACTGCGAGCCCGACACGAAGAGAGACGAGAAGGAGATCGCGAGGGAGGAGAGACGGAGGCTGAAGGAGGAGCGTTTGAAGAAGAAAGAGCGAAAGCTCCGGAAGAAGGCCAAGCTGGAGAAGGAATGCCTGACGGAGAAGATGAACTGCTTCGAGCACGACAACGATCACTGGCGCACCGCGCCGCTGTGGAGCGCCGGGCCGTTCTGTTTCTGCATGAACGCGAATAACAACACGTATTCGTGCATACGCACGATCAATGTGACGCACAATTTCCTGTACTGCGAGTTCACCACGGGACTTGTGACGTTTTATAACCTGAGGATCGGTGAGTGCGACGGGAATGCAGTTTCATCGGCGACCGAAGTGGGTTTCCACCTGTCGGCAAACGCGAATCCTTCGGAACTTTTTTCGGAAGGGGGGTTTCCTTCTCGGAATTGTTTATCCGTTCTAATCCGATCTGTATAGTCCAGTTGTGGAATAAAGGCTCGCACGCAAGCTTGAGAGATTATCCTCTGCTTCAGATCCATTCGAGCAATGGAACAGAGTGTCGTCCCTGACGCTTACCGAGAGATCCTACCTGCACGATCAATTGGAGCACTTGAAGGGATGCAAAGGTACGAGAGACTGCACGGTCGGCAGCGCAAGGGAAGCGATGCCGCAGCTCCACCAGCATCAACGAATCACGAAGCGAAAGTACAGCGACTCGTTTGGTATGCTTTGTGAGTCAAACATACGACGGCTGGTGTATATATCGTTGTACTGAGAGCCTGGTAAATTATTTCAGCGGATGATATATTTATACCTTCGACGTTACAAATTATGCGCGAAGACGGACTTGCCAGCGCAGCCGGCAAGAAGCGAAAGAAGCTGCCAAAGTAAGTGCTCTAAAGTTGCTCGAATTTCATCGCTCGAAACGTTCGCTCCGCGCGACTAATGCCCCATCACATTCTCTGTTTCAGCGTTTGGAACAGGCGCAGCAGAAGCTGGCAGAGTAATTGGCGACATCATCAAGAGTCGACAAATTTTCGACACAGACACCCATACTGATCGACATCATACATCTCTCTTTCTTTTTCTATACGCTTCAACGATCGCGTGACAAATTGCTCTAGGTATATATACGTTGATTTCACAATGCATTTAGTAGTGTCTAATTTATTTACTAATAAATAACGACGTGACCACGGTGATATTTAAATCAACGACATTTTCGATTCCATTAGATCTTCATCGTCCTCATCGTGTGTCGTGTGTGTTCTCGATATATTTTGTAGCGGTCGTGTCGGGCGTACAAACCGCGAGAGACACTATGTGTTTCGCACGCACTATGTGGGACACGTTTGAATTTATAGACACGCGAAATAATAAATTTCACACGAGTTTGAGATTGCGAATAATCCATTTTTAGCAGAGAATATAGGCAGACGTAGATAGGCACGTGAGATTTTAATTCGTGTTTTTACGTTAATTTATTTACCTTTTGGAGACGCGAAATATTTAACGGAGAATTGCAAACAACTTCTCCGGTCGCGGTTAGTTTTTGGGAGATTTTTTTACTTCGACTAAATCGACGCGAAGACTAATGTCAATAAACAATCACTCTTCCGCTGAAAAAAAACTTTCTTATTAAATTACTGAAATCAGCTGTGTAATAGAAGACTGCGAACGCACAACGAAAACGGAAAAGAAATTGATCTTCCCCCAATTGAAATATTCCCGTGATTATTTGTACAACAATCGGAAAGTAACGTTTACCAAATGCTGCCATTTTATTTAGCCCTCGTATTGCCTTCGCGCAATAAAAAAAAATATGGTTGCTCTTATAACGCACTGCCAAAAAGAATTTACCTTGATATTCATTGTACAACTTGATATTGATTCTAGAGCGAAGAGACGGATGATCCGAGCATTAGTTAAATTTTTGAGATCATCCAAAGATATTGTAAATATTATTGTAATAACATTCTCATTTTTGGATCTTTATCTTGGTTTTATTTTTAATGCGCGTACGATACATGTAAATTCATATTTCTTTAATAAATACACAGCTGTTTTAGTAGAAAAATAACAATTAGGAATGTACAATAATACGTTGAGGAAAGTAGGATGCTGTTGGTGTATATTAAAATAATTACTTATAAAGAAAAAGAACAATTGTAGGCACTTATATTGAAAGAAATATAAACATATTCAACCCTTATATTGCTGCTTCAGAAGCATGGTTTTAATAGGAATGGTTTTGTCAACTATTTGTATTTCCATGCGCTCTGCAGGTATGCAACGGTTTATGAATTTAGTTTTATGTCGAGGACATAGCCGTAATGCTGTGTAAGCGTATAAGCTTTCATATAGCAGCAATAATTATAATCTCTCAATCAGCATTCTACCTTACTTAAGCCCCGCATCGCATATTAAATCGTTACTCACCTACTTTCATTTGAACAGAAAATGTAGCAGAAAGAAACGAGGTATTTAAGCCACATAGAGAATTTAGAAACGGAATACATTATTCTTGAAATATAGAAGACATTAAATTAAACACACTACTATTCAGTTACCAGAAGCTCTATTGTACATGTATATGAGAAGTAGGTAAATAATAAAATGTTTATTTGAAATTGTAGGATATCGAAATTTGTGAAAGAAATAATTCCACACAAATATTTTCTTGAATGTTTTATGTACCGAATTCTGTAATAAAAATTACTTTCCAGAAAACTAATTATGGCTTGGATATTTATTTGAGATGACATATTTATTGGTTTTATATAGGAACTAAAAGTCAAGAGAATTGTCCAGTTCATCGTAAGTTTCAAAAATACTGGTAACATTATTTTGATTATTACTAGATTTATTGTTATCCTGCGAATTATCACATTGATCAGAATTTTTACTACAACTTATAGAATGAGAATCTTTGGCTTCATCATCTTCAGTCACATCCTCAATTTCAAAATCAGAATCATCTATGATCCTGTCAGAGCTACAAGAGTCACTGTTCTCATCATTACACAGAGATTTCTCACCTGACATTACATTTTCAACTTCAGAAATATCTTCAGAAGATGAGTTTCCTGTATCAAACAGCTCTTCTTTTTTCAGAGAATCCAAGTACTTAGTCCACTTGTTTTCGACAGCTTTGTCATTATCCGACACTTGAGTAGATACATTTGAAGGTGAATTGTGATGGGTGTTAGCATCATCTTGTTCACAAGCATTAACACAGAATAAAGACTCGTTTGCTTTCAAAGAATTCAGTTGTTGGACATGAAGACGACAGTCTTTTCCAGAACCTTGAAAATATATCTGAAAAAAAAATGGAACAATAAAATGAAATCATAACAGTAGAAACTTGAGTGAATTATGCTCATTACATGTTGTCAACAACACTTTAAGCATACCTGTTTCACAGACTGCTTTTCATTACACAATTTGCATTGCCATCTGCGTGCTTTCTTGACTATATGTACCTATAAAAACATCAGGAGAATGAAATGTTGCGCGTTAAAGTGAATTCCAAATATGGTAGAATCTATTTCTTTGCACTTACTTGGTACATCTTACAAGAATAGCAACGCAAAATATTCATTTCTTGCGGCATCGTTCGTCTAACCTATCCTTGTCGAACCATACACTTTAATCTCGCAAGTAGCACTAATCAATCGAGACGGATCTTTATTTTCCAAGTAATCCGTCTGATTTTATCACTCTTTCAACAGCAACTTTGTAAGTGTTGTTAAATATCACCGGTAGTAATTGATCAGATACAAAGTAGTTGCGTAAAGATTCAAAGTTGGAAACCAAACGATTATTATCGATGTTCTTACAAGATAATCGAATGGTAGAATCGATCTGCCTCGACTCTCCATATCCGAACCAGAGGGGAACGTGAGAGCGGCCAACACGGTATTTTCGACGACACCGACTTTCCGCACTGGGAAAGGACGTCATCTGCATCCATTTTGAGAGGGGAACTACGATGCTACATCCACTTTTAGGTTTCGGTAAAACCTGTCAGTGGTGGCAGTCCGTGTTACAACCATTTTTAGGCGGTTTATGTCCGTGCTACAATCATAATAGCGTACTTGACAAGCACGGTCTCGCACATTGTTACGCGTTTATAACATGAATTAACATGTTAACATGTGCAAAAAAAAGGGATTGACATTGTGTATGATTAATATCATGAAGATCATACGAAGTGTCCGGTAATTAGCTGCCAACCCGAAGTGTGAGGGTAGATTGGGTTGAGACAAACATAAAAGTCCCATATCATTTTGCAAGATTCGCAATAATTATCGAGTTATTAATGACATAGATGATTCGAAAAGCGTTGCAGCTGCTCGGGGCAGCGATCATGAATTTTTTCCCTAGTGTGAACTAATAAAAAGTGAAAGACTTTTATTCCTCAGATTTCTGTCATTAATAACTCGATAATTATTGCGAATCTCGCAAAATGATATGGGACTTTTATGTTTGTCTCAACCCAATCTACCCTCACACTTCGGGTTGGCAGCTAATTACCGGACACTTCGTATGATCTTCATGATATTAATCATACACAATGTCAATCCCTTTTTTTTTGCACATGTTAACATGTTAATTCATGTTATAAACGCGTAACAATGTGCGAGACCGTGCTTGTCAAGTACGCTATTATGGTTGTAGCACGGACATAAACCGCCTAAAAATGGTTGTAGCACGGATTGCCACCACTTACAGGTTTTACTGCCGAAACCTGAAAGTGGATGTAGCATCGTAGTTCTCCTCTCAAAATGGATGCAGATGGCGCCCTTTTCCAGTGCGGAAGTCGGTGTCGTCGAAAACACCGTGTTGGCCGCTCTCACGTTCCTCTCTGGCCGTACGCTGTGGTGTGGTAATTTCGAATGAGACACACGTATATTTTATTTCACTCTCTATCAATGTGCACCAATTGAATTTAGGAAGTCCTTTTGGAAAAAGAACAGATTTGAACAACACTATTAAACGATTGTAGTAACCTCGAACAAAAAATAATCGATATCGAAATAATCGAGATGACTCGCCTACCCTAACCTGACAATCGCGGTGACTACAAATTGTGGAGTTGGTTAATTTTCGCCTATTCACGTCGCTCTGGAGGTGTAAACAATTTTTCACATCTCAAATCCTAACGTTACTATTTGCAAATTGCCCTGAAGAATGAGTTCGATAGGCACAGGCGTAAGTACGACGTATATTATCGCAGGATACGGCCATGAAATACGATTTTAACGCAACTGACACTTGGATCTAACCTCAAATCTCTCCCACAGTATGACTTGTCCGCATCGCAGTTTTCACCAGACGGACGTGTGTTTCAAGTGGAGTACGCTCAAAAAGCTGTGGAAAATGGAGGGTAAGCTTGCTTCGTAAGCTTGGTTTTAACCTTTGTGTGTTCTTATGTATGAAGTCGATTGAGAAACTACGACACTTGACGTTACAAACTGATTAGTCGCGTTTTGTTGTAGCACGGTGATCGGTCTACGAGGCAAGGACGGGGTGGTATTCGCTGTTGAGAAGATAGTAACATCAAAGCTCTTTGAGTCAGGTGCTAACAAACGCATACTCAATATAGATCAACATGTCGGTATGGCAGTCTCTGGCATAATATCGGATGCGAGACAGGTCGCGGAAACGGCGAGAGTGGAAGCTGCTAGTTACAAGGCACAGTACGGGGTCGGTATTCCCCTGAAGTATCTCAACGAAAGGGTTTCTATGTACATGCACGCATACACTCTATATTCCGCTGTACGTCCATACGGTTGTTCTGTTTTGCTGGGTGCTTACGAGGCAGATGGTCCAGCAATGTACATGATAGATCCATCGGGAGTGTCGTACGGTTACTACGGTTGTGCAGTAGGTGAGCAAATCGGTGATGTAAAAATTGGAAATATTTTAGGATGAAATTTGTTTCATGTATACACATTGTGTCGCAGGTAAAGCAAAACAGTCAGCAAAGACAGAGATTGAAAAGTTGAAACTGTCAGAGATGACGTGCAAGGAGTTAGTCAAGGAAGCTGCTCGCATCATCTACCTTGTACACGACGAGTTGAAGGATAAGCAATTCGAGCTGGAGATGAGTTGGGTCGGAGCGCACACAAACGGCAGGCACGAACGCGTACCGGCTGAAATAAAAGCCGACGCTGAAAATAAGGCTCGGCAGGCAATAGCCGAGGATTCAGACAGCGACACCGAGGATATGTAGAGCGTATAAATACTACCGTTAAAATTCTTTGTACTGTGTAAGAGATAATTTAAATATATGGATATGTACTGGTTCAAATACATCGCGGTTTCATCAATGAACAATGCAAATAAAGAATGTCACCACTTGGTTTGTAAAATACTGAGACGTTAATGCATTTGCGCGTTGATTTGCCAGCCTGACGTGGTATAAAAAGATAATGGGATATTTAATAAAAATTAGAAATCTGTGAGCACAAACCGATGTTTTCTCGATAAGGAAGTAATTACCGTTCACCGTTTCAATGAATATTGATGTTTTTGTCTATATAAAATAGTAAACTGGTATCTATATGGCGAAGAGAAAAGTAAATTCGATTTACTTATGAAACACAGCGTACCGCCTCTATTATCAATCTTGGAAAGGATACGTCGTTGAGGAAATATGAGTCGGCTCGGTATGCGTAACGAGCTGTACAATTTGCGGAACAGCGAAATATAGGAATTTGCGTTCCTTCAATAGAAAACAAGTTGCATCGCACGCATAACGAGCGACCGTCAGAACTTTGCCGCAAAAAGCTCGCAACGAACTACACGTTACGTTCGCTTTAAGCTTCTTGTGCGAACGTAACGCGCAGAAAGCTCTGTGGATTTATCCCGCATATCGTTTCACGTGTGCTCGACATGCATCGATTTCGTTTGTCGTCAGAGATCATGATTAACGAGGGTAATCCCTTCGAAAAAATAAGACTAACTTTTAACAGTCGAACGCGATAACGAACGACGCGCTTTGGATTAACAGCCTCACGTGGTCTCTTCGATCAGTACCAAGTCGGCTACTTCTTAACGAAAGATCAATCGAAGGTCGAGCGACCGCTAATTAAAATTTTACACAAAAGCCTACGTGATAAGGAGAAAGCGAGACTCAATTGTTGACCTAAATGTCGATAAAAAGCCGAACTCGACGATCAAACTTCGTCATGATTTTAATCATCCGTAACATCATTGGTGCGACGGAGAAGAAGCGCGATAACAGTTAACTGTATATCATCAGTATATCATTTATCGCGAGCAATTTTCCACGGCTCTTCAGGTATCTCAATTTCGACGCATGTGTTTCAGCGAGGGTAAAAGAGTTACGAGAGCGATGTTTTCCCCCGACAGATCGTCGAAGAGGAACGATCAGAGCACGTAAGAAGCGTATATCTTCTTACGAAAAACGACAATTATCTCGTAAGATAATACGATGAGCCGCGTAATCCGAGCGAACTCTGAAGAAGCCGGTAGAATTTCATCTGCGATTGATCTGAGCCCGCATAATAATGAGCGGGCGTCTCGAGTTGTGCGTGAAAAAACGCGAAGCGGAAAGAAACCTCGGGAAGAAACTCCGCGAATTCCCTCAATTTGTCGTATCGAAGATCGCGGATCGGCTCTATCGATGTTCGCCGCGATCGATCGGAGCCTGCTGGGCCTTTATTTATTCCATCCTTAATACTTAGAATCAAGCAAAAACGACGAACATAGATCGATTCGCGCGCGATTGGATGAAAGCCAGCTTCGTCAGCGAGTCGCGACGAAAATCGATAATAATACAGCCGCGAAGCTGTCGAACTCGTCGGAGGAAATGAGAGCCGTATTGCACGATAAAACGCGCACTGCAAGTCCGAGTGTGTTATTTTGACACGCATATGCGTGCGACTGGTTAAAACTTTATACGCTTCTTGTCGCCTCATGTCGCGTCACATTTAAGGAGCTCCATACACTCTGGGAGATAAAAAAATCAATTTTTATATATTTTTTTAATGTTCAGTGTTTCTAGAATATTACCCTAAAATTTCAATTATAAAAATATATTAAAATGATAGAAATGCAGCTGTTTTTGGGTAAGCGCGCGTTTCTGCAGCAGCTAACTACTGCAGAATGCATGTTACAATACACTTATTTCATTTCATCGCAGAACAAGGTGTTTCTTTAATGATAAGTCGAGTGTCGGAGTATTTATTATATAATTTTATTACTGCGAAAATAATGTGTCCTAATCTTACGCGATAAGTTCTTCTGATTTTGCACGACACGTAAAGTGTTCAAGGAAACAACATTTGATAATCAATAGGAAAGATAGCGGACGGAAGAGAAAATGTGTTAAAAATAGATTTCATTGTAGCGAACGCTCTTTCCCACATTTATCAAGATTTAAGCAACGAAAGTGTTGAAAGAACAATGTGCTGTTGGCGAATTTATGCAAAATAATAATGAAAGTTTTAACAGTCTGATTTGACACAGTGCACCCAAAATATTTCACAGCGGTGCTGAAATTGTAGAGGTAGCCACGTATATTGCTGCATGTATTCATAATGAAGGTTTTACATCAGTATCGAAAATTATGAACGATATGAATATAAGATGTGATCGAAATGCATCAAACATCAATTTGCTAGCATGGGAAACGATCACCGGCATAGAAACGTCGTGTGTGTGTGTCTCTACAAAAGCGACTCAAAAGCGTCTCTACAATCAAGCCTTAAGATTCATTTCATCTTTAGCATTCTTTAACATTTCTTCTTTTCCTTCCGTTTCTCGATTTTAACCGCTTTGCATATGTATTCGTGCTTTCACTTTCTAATTGTGCTACATATCTGTTTTTAACACATTTCCTTTCTCGTCCGCTATTTTCCTGTTGATATTGATCGAATGTTGTTTTTTTTGAACACTTTATATGTCGTGCAAAATCGGAAGAACTCATCGCGTAAGATTAGAACACACTATTTTCGCAGTAATAAAATTGTGTTAGGAATATTCTGACATTCGAATATTTCGATAATGCGTTTTGCGCCTCGTTCTGCGATAAAATAATGAGCGTGTTGCACCGCGTGTTGTATCCATAGACATAGGAATATAGGGACAGATCATTGAGTTGCAGGGGGGGATAACCATTGCGGGACGGTGCGACGAGGTAAACTGTGCCTACATCTAATTGGTGGTTGTGCCAGTTTGTGCAAGTATTTGATACATACATAGATGTGTATGAAGTTGTGCATGTGAGTGAAATTATGAGAAAAAAGACACATGCATAACCTTTGCAAAATACTGTCGGTGTAAATAGTTGTTATCATTTTGTTACATCTACTATTTGCCAGTGACAGCCAAGTCGTTGCATCACACGCTCTGAATATGCGCACTATTGTAGCCAATGAAACTTAGGCACAGTCGCCCCCCGCATTTCAGCACAACTCCCCTCGCCTATCTTACGGGCTTATGCTCTGTCCCTATATTCCTACGTCTATGATATCTCTGTCGTTTCAATATATTTTTAACTTTAAAACTTTAGGGAAATATTCTAGAAACATCAAAGATTAAAAAAATGTAAAAATTGAAAAATCGATTTTTTTTACCCTCTCGGAGTGTATGTGGTCCTTTAAAACTTTAGACTCGTTTTTTTCGAAACCATGTTTTGAAAACTGGTACCAAGGATTTCTCAAAAACTACTCGAACCAACGTCTTTGAAGTTTAACATGTTTATTTAATATATTAAAACGCAGGTAGCATCGTAGGGTTTTTCTGTTTACGCCTCTGTTCACCTGCGATTGTAATATTAATATTGTAAAAAAGTAGACTTTAAAATTCAAGCATGTACCATTGTATTTAGGAGAAAAATTTTTTAAATCGGCTACAATGCTACCTGCGTTTTTTATGAATATACTTTAAAAGAATATATGATTTTTTGCATTCTGATACATTTTATAATTGTTTTCTCTGATATCGATTTTCAGGTTGGCGCATGGCGCTTATAATTTCAGTTATTATACTGTAGCCATTTTGAAAGACTTCACGTTTACGAGAAAGAAATTATGAAAAATAGCCTTTTTTCAGGGCCAGCGTGTATGTAGCCCTTTAATTAAACGTATCAAATGACGTGATTGAAGAAACAAGAAACGTAAGCTAAAGAAAGCTTCAGCCATTTACATGCTTAGACATGTCAAGATAATATATTTGGATTTGCAGCGCAGGCAGTAGGAAAATCAGTCGACCGCATTCGATTATTATTCTTCGACCGTAAGGAAAATAATCAACAGCAGCTCCTATCAGTTTGCTGCCCGCGTCTCACTTAGGGTTTCCGATTGTGTGACATGGGCCTGATCCCTTTATCGTGTCGCGTCGTGAAAAGCCGGAGCTTGCGATCGAGCGAATGCGAAAATACATCGAAATCCAATGCCGAGGAGCGGAACGGGGAAACATGATCGGTGCGTCGCCGAAGAAGCTCGGGAAACTCCGCGCGCATGCTGCTTTTTCGCGCCGCGGGGATTGATCGCGGAACGGCCGAGAGGGTGCGCATCTAGACGGGGGTGGTTCGGGCCGGCCTTTATATAAAGGTAGCGTGATTTTGAAACTCCGTCATTGAAATTGATTAACGCGAGCGAGTCTCTCGGATTCTCCGCGCATACTCTCGCCGCCTGCTTCTTCGTTGCTCGCCGGGCAGGATTTCCGTCGCGTGAATCGGAAGTACGGAATACCACGGAAGTATGTCTTTGAATATGACCAGCGACCTGGCGGACGACTCGCTCGACGGATTAGATCGACCAAACGGTGCTTACGTTTTCGCGGCGATTGTGCTCGGTTTCATTGGCGTCTTCGGCTTCACCTTCAACCTGTTGGTCATCCTTACGATCGCTAAAAACAAGGACACGCTGTGGATGCCCAACAACGTTGTGCTCCTCAACATGGCCGTGAGTATCGCTTTCTCTCTCTCTCTCTCTCTGTCTGTCTGTCTGTCTGTCTGTCTCTCTCTTTTCGAATCGCGCATGGACGATTGAGAATTCGCGCGAAAATCACTGTTCCTCCGAGTTTCGAGATTTTCACGCGTAGCGATAGCGGAGCTTCGCAAAAAACCGCATCTGAATTGTCATTCGTCCACAAGCTTATATTTTTAAGTCTCCCTTAGTTTCCTCGCTTAATGTTCTTATAATAAGACTGAATTCTCTGTATGCGCGTACAAAATAAATCTTGTAAAGTTGAAGGGTCGACAAAGCGAGATTAAATATCTCGAAAGTTTCGTGATATTTTATTGATCTAGGAAAACGTGTATTATTTTCTCCGAGTTGTACAAACTTTTAGAAAATATAACTATCGCGCAATTTAGAGAGAGAGAGAGAGAGAGAGAGAGAGAGAGAAAGTAGCTCACGGAGCAATCACGTTTTCCATTTCTTGATTAATGTTGTTCTAATATAATGCGGAAATAATAACGTTTTGGAACATTATATAATAATTTATGCGAAATTGTATGCGAAAATAGCATGGAATGAATAGATTTCTCCTTCATGTGGTCGTATATTAGTATAATTAGCATGTACCAATTTTGCATTTGACGTGAGTAATTCAGTTTGGTTTGACTTATTATCGTACGACGATATTATGAGAGAGAAATCTCACGTTTCAAACGGTACTGTAAACATGTGTATGTTTATGTGTGGATGTGTGTGAGTATGCCGCACGGCCGATACAATGCTAACAATTTCGACAATGTTATTTATTTTCCACTCGCCACAAGCAATTCAGTCGTTTCAAAGCACATGAAAACGTAATAAAATGAACAAGAAAGGGAGAACGGCGAGGAATCGTCCGGTGCGATAGCAATTTTTACTCATCCCTTCCCGCTCACCCCGTACAGTGCATTTTCACTAGTTTTCGAAAAACTCTCAAGACGCACAAACAAACTAACGCGTAAGACGTGCATTAGACAAACGAGTTTCCAAGCGTTACGACACTTCTGATTGGAAAAAAAGGCTGAGAGGCGATAAAATGTTCGAATTTATGCGACAACATGCCGGTGTGTCTTGTCGCGCGGGCGAGAGAAATGCTTTCCCGCGAACGACATCGCGAGGACGAGATCGCGGCAACGGAGAAACAAGAGTAAAACTTCGCCGGCCATACGTCGCGAATATGCGAGTCATGCTTCTGCGTTATCGAGGGACTATCGAGGATGCATTCCGAATATATTGAGCGACGTCGCATCTCTTTTCTTAGCTCTGGCGTGCTCGGAAGGATGTGCAAACTTCGAGTGAAATTTAAATCAGGCAGAAAAAACTGCTCTCGCAGCTGCAGCGTGGCGAATAACGCCGTTGATTTCATTTCCAATACGCGCTGCATAGCTTTTATTTCGCGAAAACTGTCTCGCGCGACACTAAAGTTCGCTCCGACGCGTCGCGGATTATTTATTACGAGCAGCCATGAATTTGAAGCGTCTTTTGGAAGAAGCTCGGTTTCGTTCTTGCAGGAAGGATAATTATAATTCTCACGTATATTCCTCTTCCCCTCCTTTCTCTCTCTCTCTCTCTCTCTCTCTCTCTCTCTCTCTCATGTGCGATTAGTAACAAATTCCCGATTTAAACTCATTAACGTGCACGATCGCTGAATAAATGGAGTCAAAGATAGCCAACTGGGAGAGCACAATATGACTTCTACGAACTCATCAAATAGTTAGCATATATTTCGTCAAATAATATGACTACTCGCCTACAAGTTCCTCGCCTGATACAACCGCTTATGCACCATGTGTCCGCTTTCTTATCTGCATGCGACAGCTTTTAGAGTACAACAGTGCGCACTAACGCATCTGATTAACCTGAGCTTATGACTCCCAGACAACGTGCGTGCGCATCTACTTTTTAATTACTTTTTTGACCTCCGGATAGAAAGAACTCTGCAGAATCCTTATAGGAAATGGCTTTCGGCTAAATGTTTTGTAGATTTGCTATGTGATAGTTTTTTATGTAAATCAAAGTGTCAATGGGCCCAAAATCCGGTAATGAACAGTTTCCGAACTACAGTTCAAAGTTGGAGTTTTTGTATATCACGCAAGATAGTGAAGGACAACATATTCATGTATACAGGATGTCCCATTTTAATGTCCCACCCCAAATAACTCTTCAGTATTGAAGTTTCAAGGAAAATGATCTGAATAAAAGTTGGTAACTTACGGTATCTCGCTAACTATTCGTCGAAAGAAAAAATAATATTACACTTTTTTTACTTTATTTACTATCAAGAATATACTACTATAACAGTGCCCTAACTTTTATTAATTTAATAATTTTGAAATTTCCAAAGGTCGATAAGTTAATAAAAGTTAAGGTACTATTATATTAGTATATTCTTGATAATAAATAAAGTAAAAACGTCTAATACTATTTTTTCTTTCGACAAATAGTTAGTTAGTCTGATATCGTAAGGTAAATGTTGGAAAAGTTACCAAGTTTTCCTTAAATATCTCAAAATATATTAAGCAAATAAAAAAATGTTTCAGACAAAAATTGTTTAAATTAATTGGTAAAAAAGGATGATATAATAAAAAAACTGGGATTTCTATTTAAGAAAATTGATAATCAGTGAATACCTCGAAAGTGACGCCATCTATAAACAAAATGCTATCACTGTCCTATGTCCCCTTTCAAGCTAAACAACTTTTGTCTGAAACATTTTTCGATTTAACGTAGTGTTTTTGAGATATTTCAGTGGGTTCTTTAAAATGGGACCCTGTATATATAGATAAATACATGTACACATATTCTTATAGACTTGAAGCATTCTATGTGAAATATATTGAAGAATTCTGTTTGTATGCTCACATCAGAGTATATATGTATGTATATAGATGTATGCATATATATGAACGTGGACACATATATACATTTGAGTACATGCGTGTGTGTATATATACAGGGTGCTAAATTTTAAACGTAACAGGTAAAAAATCTCGAAAACTATGAAAGATATTAAAATTAGCTAAAACACGTGTTCCATGATTTCGAAGGGAAAAGAGAATAATGGCATTATCAGTCTTTTATTTGGAGGGCATTTTCAAAGTCAGTTGAAGGTCAACTTAATTTTTTTAAATAGAAAGTCCAGTTTTTTATTTTATCTTCTTTTTCTACCAATTAATTTTAACAACTTTTGTCCGAAACATTTTTTTATTTGCCTAATATTTTTTAAAATATTTAAGGAAAACTTGATCACTTTTTCAACATTTAACTTACGATATCTCGCTAACTATTCGTGGAAAGAAAAAATAGTATTAGACTTTTTTTACTTTATCTTATTTGCTATTAAGAATATATTATTATAATAGTGCCCTAACTTTTGTTAATTTAATAATTTTGAAATTTTGAAAGAGGCGTAAATCCGACCGTGCAACCTCCACGCGGTATACCATACACCTTGGGTAATGCGAATGCCGGCGATATGTCAACTTTGAAGCTTCATATCTTGAAAATGGCTTACGCAAAAAGCAAAAATGGGTAGTGTTTTGAAAACGTCTTGACAAGGGCTATAAGAATATGTAATAAAAAATAGGAGGTTCCATTTAAGAAAACATCGATTACATTGACCTGGCCTTGATAAAGTCACTCAAGGTCAAATCCATATTCATAGGTCATGTGTCCCCCTCAATATCCTACAATTTTTGTCTGAAACATTTTTCCATATTTAAAGCCGTTTCCAAGATCCAGGGGTGGGGACGGACTTTATAGATACCCTGTATAACGAGTCTTCAAAAAATTTTAATCGAAAGCCATTTCCTGTAAGGACCCTACGGGCTTCTTTGTGCAGGTGCAGATAAACTGCCAGACTCATCAGGCAGGCTCGTCTCGAAAGTGCTCGATGCAATACCCTCACCCTGTTTTTGCTACGAAATGTTTGTAGCGCGAATAAAAGTTTACCCCCGGCTCCCAGTCCAATCAAATCGAATGCGCGCGTAACAATGTATGTATGGCTACTTTTTTGCATAACCCGAAAAAACTCCGTACTTCGTAATATACGCGTTGTTTGCATATGTCGAGCTGCCGGCTTGCCCAAATCGACAAACACTCGACCGCGAGAGCACAGGTATTCCCCCTTTCGTTTTCATTCGCTTCGTCGAGTAACGCTTCACCATTGAGACTCTCAGCATACGGTAGTCCGCGAGAAACGCGATCTAAAATAAACGCTGCGGCTTGTTGTTTCGACTCTGAATAACCTTACAACGTATGACTGTTCCGTTAACTGTTCATTCTAACAGGTTGGAGATCTCTTGGTAGCTGCACTGGGCAATCCTATCACAATGACGTCGGCGATCGCCGGTGTGTGGTACTGGAGCTACAATGTGTGCGTGTTGTACGTATCGTTATTCACTCACGTTCGAACGATGACCGATATCATCCGTCGGGTCATTCGAACGGCCTTTTTATTGTCTTGCCAGTCATGAGAATGAGAATTAGAAGCGAAGGAGAAACATCACGTTTGCGTTAATCCCTTGACTTCAGGTACGCGTGGTTCATGACTACCATGGGGTTCGCCAGTATCGGTAATTTAACAGTGATGGCATTCGAGAGGTTCTTGCTGGTGACATGCCCGATGAGGACGCTATCGACAAGGTAAACAGCTAGTCTTTGCTGCTAGATACTGCTCGTGGGAAAGGATGAAGAAGGAAAAAGATCTCTGCTTTCTGACATAGCATAGACACATGAATAAACGTACGCCTGCGCTCAAGTCTCGTGTTTTTGACTCCTCTTCTTTTCCCTTTTCTCCACGACTCACTCTAGCAATTATGATACAAGCGGTGAGCACGGCCGAAGAAATAATTAATCTGCGCACTCCGCGACTTTCCATCGCGCACTTTCATCGCTACATTTTCCTGGGAAGTGATGTTCGTCGCTCCTCGTGTCCGCGTGGAGTCCGCGTTAACGCCTCCGAGACATCGTTTGCGCGGGTTCACAAATGTTAATTGGCGTCAGTCTCCCATTTCTCTCGTCGTGCAGCCGCGAGTGCCAAAAGAGACAGGAAAAAAACAAAAGCGTAGCCGTGTATTATATCACCTCTGTGAAGTTGGCCCCACCTTTTTAAAATTTGAAAAAAAAGAGCAGAGTTCTGATTGCCCCCCAAAGAGTTCTAGAGTTCTCTATTAATAGAAAAAAAGAGTTCCGTTGATTAAAGTGGTCAAAACACGAAATAAAGTTACGGAGGAGCTAACTTCACAATTGCGTAAACTTCAAAAGGTCATAACTTTTTTACCTTAAACTTTAGCGCTTCGATGCTTAAAGAAAATCGATGGAACTCTTCGGGGGGCTACTAGAACTCTCAAGAAATTGAACGATTTCCGAAAAAAATTTTTCTCCTAGTTGAACTTAGAAAATTCTGCATCTGTAATACTTTGATGAGCTAGAAGTTTTTCATTTCTGCTCGAATCGATTCGAGTCATAAGGAAAACCGATAGAACTCTTCGGGGGGCTACCAGAATTCTCAAGAAATTGACCGATTTCTGAAAAAAATTTATCTCCTAGTTGGACTTAGAAAATTCGGCATCTGTGATACTTTGATGAGCTAGAACTTTTTCATTTCCGCTCGAATCGATTCGAGCAGAAATGAAAAAGTTCTAGCTCATCAAAGTATCACAGATACAGAATTTTCTAGGAGAAAAATTTTTTTCGGAAATCGTTCAATTTCTTGAGAGTTCTGGTAGCCCCCCGAAGAATTCCGTCGATTTTCTTTAAGCATCAAAGCGCTAAAGTTTAAGGTAAAAAAGTTATGACCTTTTGAAGTTTACGCAATTGTGAAGTTGGCCCCCCCATAACTTTATTTCGTGTTTTGACCACTTTAATCAACGGAACTCTTTTTTTTATTAATAGAGAACTCTAGAACTCTTTGGGGGGCAATCAGAACTCTGCTCTTTTTTTTCAAATTTTGAAAAGGTGGGGCCAACTTCACAGAGGTTATTATATCGTCAGAGAAACGCTCTGGAGAGCCGGCATAATTTTATATATGCGTTTTGCCTGCGAAAGGAAGTTTTTGTAAATCATTTTGTGCAACGTCATAACGTCGTATCACCGCCGAGAACGTCGACGACCGATGAGCGTCCTTTATTTTCCCTCGCGCCGAGTTTTAATGCAGAAAATACGATATCGCCGCGTGCTGCTAAAAGATCCTCTATTATTCTCAGAATTAATGAATTAAAAATGACCGCCTTGTTACCGACGCGATCGCTTTATTTTAATCGCTTTAAGCGGCAGTCCAACCGGAGACGGATTTTTAATCCGCTTGTAACGACAAATCCGTTATTCCGCTAATGAGTTAATCGTTACGCCCACAAGTTAAGGCTTCTGATCCGTCACATCGGATTATTGCGTCAGAAGCGAGAAATCACGCGTGATCATTTATCGTGCGCGACGCGACGCGACGCGACGCGACGCGACACGACGCGACGCGTCGGCACAAAACAGGGTTTCCGTTTTCCCTTTTGTGTCGCGTCGTCACACGCGCATTCGCGTAATCGCGGGATCAACACTCGACGAGACAGCCGCACGGCTGTCGGTCAGGTTTGCTTTAGAGTCTGTTTTTCCGTATCCGGAGAGACGGGTGATACGCGCGAAATTGCGTAACGAGGAAGAACTCGCTGGCTCGCTCGCTAATATTCCTCGCACGTCCCTCGCGACGAATCTTGCGGTTGCCGGATAAAACGAGGATTCGACGAGGACGAACTAAGCCACCTCTCTCTCTCTCTCTCTCTCTCTCTCTCTCTCTGCCGATTTCTGCTCTCTCTCGATTTCGCCGAACAAACTCGTAACAAGCTGTCTTAACTTGTTGTAATTTCTACCACTTGTTGCAGGCATGCTTACATATTGATGTGTTTAGTTTGGGTGTACGCGCTCTCCTTGTCGCTGCCGCCGTTCTTCAATTGGGGAAAGTACGGCCTGGAGATGAGCAATATATCCTGCAGCGTGTCTTGGGAGAAGCACAGTCCCGAGACGCACAATGACACTTACATCGGATTTTTGTTTATTTTTGGCTTCCTCGTCCCCGTCGTGATAATTACCGGCAGTTACTACAGCATCATCCGTACCTTGAGGAACATCAAAAAGAGAGTCGGTGAGTCTTCCGTTTCCATGCGTTTGGCGACTGGAGCAACTTAAGATCTCGCGAATACCGCACGCTGCAGGTCAGGGCAACAAGACAGAAACGAGGATCACAAAGATGGTGTTGCTGATGATCATTGCCTTCCTGATCGCCTGGATGCCCTATGCCATACTCGCTCTCGCGATTCAATATTTCTACGTGAGTATGTCCTGAAAGCGACGAGGAGGAGCGGTCGTTGAGAACACCATCGTCGCGTTTCACACAGTTAATTAATGAAACTGTGCGACATAATTAACCGACGTCTGCTAATCGCAGGTGCAAACGTCGCATATCGCAACCGCGTTGCTGCCGGAGCTGCTCGCGAAATCCTCCATCTGCTACAACCCCGTGATATACGCGAGCCTGAACATGCAGTTCTTTCGCGCTTGGAAGAAGTTGTTCAGCAGTCCCGGCGAGCTCGAAAAAAGGACCTTACCCAACAAGGTCAATAAGGACAACGCGATGAGCACGACGAACAAAATCGAGATGAGGACCCTCAATCACATGTGAGCCAAGTCGAAGGCAATGGCAACCGGACTCGACACTACCTTCGCCACTACCTTCGCAGATCCTTCGGGAACGGAAGAAGGGGGAGAAGGAGGGAGTCGGCACCGAGTGAGAGAGAATGATTTCCCAAGTTGCCAGGTTGCCGCAAGGACGCTGGGCGATCTTTCATCCCCTTCCCCGATCTCGAATTATTATGAGACGAGCGAGTTGCAGCGAGTGGAAGCGCTCCATCGGCTCTCAGCGCAAAGCACACGCGCGCGAGGAACTCGCGAGCACGCACGACCGGCTTTCCAAGCGCGAACCGCGGCATATCGTCGGGAACGACATTCGTGTATAATAAAGTCACGGAAAATAGGAAACAGACTGTCAGGAAATGGGCTATTTACTCGCCACGTTGCTTCTCGGTAAAAGAAAGAGAAAAGAAAAAGAGAGGACAGACGGGGGGGGGCGAGAGGGGGAAGGGAAGAGATATCTCCCGCCGCGCGTTATGATCGATCGACCAAGGAAAGCAACATGGCAATTGAGTAACGCATCGGAAGTCGGCTCGGCGGCACTTAGAGCGAAACTTGGAAATTTAGGCTGTAGTACATACATGTATATAGTTAAGTGAAAGTGCGGCATTTATCAGCCATCTCGTATGCGTCTGATATCGTCACGTGAGAGAGAAGCGCGAGTTGAACAAGTGGACAAGCTTATTGTTTGCAGCTCTTGCCTCCCGAGACGGAGCGCGATGGGGGCGAGGGGGGGGGGGGAGGAAGGTGGCGAGGGGATTTTCCTGTTAGAAAAATACTTCTCCTCTTTGAACGCATCGCCCGAGGAATTACACACGCGCCCGCATGAGAGGCTGCCGGACGAGAAGGCTCCGCGGATGAGAAAGTTCTGCTCGTCTTTTTGCTCGTCGTCATCGCTCGAATATACCAAGCGCTCGCGCGCGCGCGCGCATCCGGCAGGAAAGATTTCAATGCCGTAAGAGCTTCGATGTTCACGCGATTAGGTCACGTATGTTCGCGCGATTTGCAAGCAACACCTGGGAGGCAATTCGCCGCGATATCGCGCCGTGGCGCGCTCACAGCCATGCACGGAGTCGAGACAGACCGTGTTGATGCGCGAGCGTCTAATACTATTCGCTGAGTGTGCGTGTGTGTGTGTGTGTGTGTGTGTGTGTGTGTGTGCGGATCCGTTTGTGCGTTGCGCAGACACGCGTGAATGCGCGAAAGATAACCCGACATGTATGCGCGTCTCGCATTGTGGCCGAAGCACGGCCTGTGATTTCGTTACACGCCGCGGCCGCGCGCCACGCCGTGGAATCGAGCATTTACGATTCGTAACACGCGCAATTATGCCACATCGGAGAAAGTGAAATCGCGAGGAAAATTTGCAGTCGGCCGCGGACGTTGACGTTTGCATCGGCGCTTCGGCGATTTTCATTAGCATTTTCTGGCCAAACGGCCGTTCGAGCGCGGACGAGAGAGTCAAGAGAGCGTCGATTAAACGAGGATGACTCAAGATGCATTACCGTTAGACAGATCGGAGTGTCTAACTGTATTTAACAATAATTCCCGAGTTACGGTAACGCGCGCGCGCGCGCGCGCGAGTTTTTAAGCTTGGAAGGATCGACGCACCGAAAAATCTGCAGAGCGCGGCGCATCGAGTCGTTTTGCCGTTACTCGCGACAGCCGCGTCGTCGCAACTTTGTCACCCTCATTGTGCACAAACGGTGCTACAAACGGGTTATAAAAGATAATGAAAATACACGTGGGAATACGATGAGTGTAATGCGCGATGCGCGCAAATTATTGAAACGGTGAGAGACCAGCTCCCCAGAGAGAAGCGATTCACAGCGTAATGTAGTCTCCGTTCCCGCGTGCGAGCTGCAACATCGCTCGCTCAATCAATTAGCGCTCCCTCAATCTCAGCAATTACGCGATGGATATCAGAAAACTGAAACGGAAAACATGATTATCGATTCGAGGCTACCGTAATTGCTGCGCTTGTGACGATTACAGCGAGATATATAATCCCATCACGTCGCTGTTTACTTTCGCGAGATGCCGCTATTAGCTTTGTTACTTCTGCGAGCTGCTCGTTCATGCAATGTGACCCCGCGAGGCAACTGCAATTCCGCGAAACCGCGCGTTTTCCGCGCTTGAAACTCGACGAGAGAGCGTCCCGTGAAAATTATACGCCTATCTTCGACAGACCGCACGTCGCGTTCTCTCTCGGCTCTCCCTCTTATCGTAGAATATTCCGACCTCTTGCTTAATGCGCTTGTGTAACTCGAGTGAATATTTATTAAACGAGCGATTCTCCCTGCCTTCAGTCGTAGCTAATTTAATTATATACCTCTACCTCCCGATGCACCAGGATAACTCCTCCGGATAATTTAGGATAACGGCGAGTTGGGTTTTCGGTAAATCGGCAAGGAAGCAGGATTCGCAGCATTGCAGGAGAACGGCGAGCTCGAAGATTAAGACGTTGAGGGGAATGTGAAGATATAAATCGAGATTAGCAGACGCGATTTCGGCCAGTGCGTGAAATGCTGCATGAGTGCTCGAGAAGCACGGCGGAGCACTTGCGAAAATATAAAATTACAGATTTAACGCGCGCGTGTCCGAGCGCACTCGCTGCAAAGGATGCCCAGGATGGAACTGTCGAGTTCAATCACTCGCAACTACAAACTAACGACCGGCTTGGCATGCTCGATTATACGGACACCTTTATGTCACTGTCACGTTTTTATGTTGCTGCTTGATATGCGTAATATACGATCACTCGGTCGGAGATCGAAGGCGGCTGCGAAGGCTCGATATAGCGCGCGCAAGGTGAAGGTAGCGAGGTACAGCACGCGCGTCCTAGAATCGCCAATTTAATTTTGCCAATTAAGGAGTCAAATCAGCCGAACGTGATGACGGACCACTAACTAATACCAATCATGCGACTGCTGCTGCTCACGCGAAAGCGCGCGCGTGCGTGTCGGCCATGAATCGAGAAAGAGGGAGAGAGAAACGTTGATACCATAACGTCGATATAAAATGTTCAACTCGGGCGTCTAAAGAGTGACACATATTAACGTAACTCGTGAAAGTTGTGAACGCGTCGGTTCATCGACGCGTTCCGATCCAACGCCGTCCTCGGTGTCCTTAATTCGCTCGCTTTTACTTTATCTTACTTTGTCCGTGCGACATTTTACGTAATTTATTTTCGTCGATATTCGCGCTCGTCGCACGGCAGCGGCGGCGCGGCGGCGCGCGTTGCAGAATCCCGCCGGTATTACAGAAGCGGCGTTATGGGCGAACATCAGCCGGAATACAAAGCATCTCTCTGCGGTCACGAGCGGCGAGAAGCGACGAGCGACCGCGCGCGCGTTGTGAGGAGAATCGCCGAAAAGTTACGTCCATCGAAAACGGTCTCGTTGGATGCGCGGCGTGATCGCGCTGCGCTCTAAGTGATCCAGCGTCGCGAATGAGTCGCCGACGACATTAATGGCTTTTCTTCTCGCGAAATACAATAGCCAGTCTTCCGTCAGAGTATCCACAAAGTCTCGCTTGGTCGAGCTGAAAGTATTGGTTTAACCCGCCGCCTCTCATTATGAGACTCGGAACTCGTCGATTGGCAACAACACCCCGGCGGATTTTGCTTGCCGCCGACGTCAAGGAGGCGCTTGCTAATCGCGTACACCCCCTTAGCCGACTGAATTCTGGGATCAGAGGGACGAATCTCGAGACCGAAGAATATAACGTCGTCTTCGTATCGCCGATAGGTGAAGCACACCGATGAGAAGAGATGAAACATTTGACTGAAATTATCGATATCACGGAAAATACCAGCCAGCGGCATTTTACGTAAGCCAATTAGAAAAATGCAATTAACACAACCGGGCTTACACAACAAGGTGACACAATTCGTTCCTCCTATATATTCCCGTTTCGTTTCTCAGTCTCAGTCGGCTCGTCTGACCGCCTCATTTGCTCAACTGAGCAAACCCGGCGACTGCACGCGCGCGATGCAATCGCTCTTACGCACCTCGGTCTCCGTCGACCCGTGGGGAATCACGAAAGGGGAAAAGTTAATTTTTGATCGACGTCGCCTCGGTATGCGCTCACCGTAGACCCCTCGATCGGGCACGCACGCAATGAGACGCACGCGGAGGAATTCGCTAACACGTTAACAGCCCGGAGGAGCGACGAAGCGAGCTTTCTACGGCGAGCGCCGAAAAGTCGGGGCGACCTGAGAAACGAGAAAATCACACGCGAGACCGGATATCACAGACCCAAATACGAGCGGCCGTAACCGCGCTGCGGAACAAACCCGTTTTTGAAAACGGCATCTGCGCGAGCATACCGTAACGAAGCACGCGGCGGCGGCGGCGGCGGCGGCGATGGCGGAGAACGCAGTCATCTATAAATTTCTCAGGATTCGCGCGGGATCGTTAATACTAACACCGGAACGAGTATCATTATTCATGATATGCGCTCGCACGAGAGATGATGTGTATTCTGCCACTTTGCGCGGATGAGTTATTCAGCTTGTTGGAAATGTCGATCGACAGGCTGAATCGCCAACTCGCTGGAAATTCAATCGATCGGCGAAATCGCCGACCGTCTGGAAGTGCCGATCGACACGGAGTCGTCGACTCGCTCGGGAATCTCGATCGATACGAATTGTCAACTTCGCGGAAAAATTCGATCGATGCGAGGGAAAGTTCTTCGGCTCGCGCGTTACCTAATCGCGTGGCGGCGCGTTTTTCGCGGTGACACGGATCACAGACAAAAGTCACGTCGCGGTTTACCACACGACCGATGATAATAATAATCCGCGTTTGAACGCGGATCCGGAAAAAGTTTCTTGCGTCCGCTCGCCGTAAAGCCCCGCCCGCTCCGATTATTCGCACAAATCGCCGGGTAATAAAGTCTCTCGACGCACGAAGCAACATTGCGCGAGGGATCGCGGTCGTACAGCAGCCTGGATAAACATTTTTTTACAGTCTTCCCCGGGCACTCTTCCCGCGGCCCCGAGGAGACGGATATTTTAGAAAGTTGCCTCGATCGAAAAGACGCTCCATATCTCCCGCGGCTGATTCGGTCGCGCGATGAAAAACGCAGCCGAAAAAACCCGCTCCTTGCGATTTCTGCGGCCGCTGCTCTTCAACGTCGACTGAACGTTCGGGGCGATTGCGAACGTGATGGCGGACAGTTTTTTTCTTTTCTTTTCGTAGAAAGAGCTTCCACTGTGACACTAATTAATCGTCGAAGCGCGAGTAAAATTTAATGAATTTTATTAAAAAAAAATAAGTCCTTACATCAACTTGAAACGAATAATTATCAAAAAACAATCTGCATGATAATAATGAAAAAGTGAGTCGATAACGAACACATATTTATTAAAGAGCGACCAACAACGTATGTCATTAAACGCCGGTTGTAATGACGCCGTGCATCATTAAAGAATCGACCGCACGACATCGACCTCAAGACTGACGTTTCACCTTCTAAAAAAATTCTTTTTTAATTCTACCCGGATCGGACGAACGATATCCGCCTTCTCGGTAAGAATTCGCGCGGACAAGACATAACGGTACGTTATAATCGAACCAGTGAAATCTGTCCTGATTCCTTGAGCACTCATTTCGTTCCCGCTCATGAGATTCTCCTTGTAACCTACCTCGATACCGCGTCATAATCTGCCCTCCAAAAAAAGCGACAGCTGACCGACAAAGCAACAGGTATGCGTACGCGCGCGCGCGTATATACGTGTGAAGACTTTGTCTATCCTGAAGGATCGACCGATATAAGTAGTGCATTTCAGATACGAGCGAAAGCGTAATAGAAAAAGCACATCGCATACATGTTGTAACAGCTGCAATTACTCTCTCACGAGTCCAGAGGTTGCAAGTGCGTCAAATAAAAAATAAAATTGCGAGTTGTCGTGGCACGATTTTCTGCTGCGTCTCGCGATAAAACGATAAATTATAATTAATCTGAGGACGCGCGCGCTTCGCTTCTGAACAATAGGCAGATCGACAGCCATTAACCGCGTCCTGTCGCGTTAAACCTCAACTTTGATCGGCGCATACGCGAGTGAAAACGATGAAGCATCGCTCTCAAAAGGTACGTGTACACTAAGTGGACAAATAGCGAACAACAATACGAGTATAAGGCGGGTTTTAACCTAAAACGCTAGCACGACTATCCCCAATCAGAACCATAACGTTGATTCGACGTTGATTTGCCGTTAAAATGATCGATGAACCATTGAATCAACGTTAATTTAACTCTCATCGACGTCGAATCAACATTGTGGTTCTGATTGAGTACTCGGTCAAAAATACTCACGCAGGATGCAACATTGATTTATTGCGCGAAATAAAGGTAAAGAGAGCAGTGATTAATGTGCAATCCGCAATGTTTCTACTTTGTATGAAAAAATCGCTTTTGACTTGCATAAAAAAAAATTTTCTTGCCAGCCTAACAAAAATTATCTACCTTGCATATCAGTAAAATAGACATGCTAATTAGGTATAGCGAGTAACCACGAGTAATGGAGGAGGGGAGAGTGAAGGTCAAGGACTACACGTGCATCTTGATGGTGATGTTGACTCAGCTCAGTTTTCAGGGTTAGAACCTACTATTCTACTACTTCTACTAACAACGAATGATAAATTCGACAAATATGCAGAGTAAGTACCAACTGAATGTTCGTCAGCGTTTGACTCGTTTCCGACTCGTTCATGAGGAGACATATCAAGAAACAGAAATTCGATGTTCGTTCGCTCAGTGTATACATACCTGTAAGGATACCTGTATAAGGAGGATGTGTGCTCGGCACGATAGTAAATTATCCGGTTAGATGTGAGTATACAATCGGCGCGAGCGAACGGCGAAGGTGCCCGCGATAGTATCGCTCTGGTAAGCTCAGGTGAGTCGATCGTTAACTTCCAAATAAACGAAAAGAAAAGCGAGCCTCTTTCTCAGCAGATCGGGAAAGACAGATGTGGGATTATGAAGGAGACCTGCCTTCTCTCAGGAATCACGTTCTCTCTCGCCTCTCCGACTCGATGATGATTAAAAAAACCTCGCTGGTCGTGCGCGATTATACATTTCCTCGGAGTCGACGAAACGCTCGCTGGAACAACGAAATCTTCTCTTCGAAGTGCAGGTGCGCCCAGGTTTGGAAACACCAAGCATCTTCAAGCGCACGACCGACGATGAGCGTCTTGGTGGGAGGCAAAACTCTCTCTCCGGAGCTCAGCTGATCATTAAAGCTGCTGCTGGCCAGTCAAACTTTCACGCTCGGCGATACGCGAGCTTGGCGAGCGAGCAGCTCGCCGCAACTGATTCCGAGGTTTCCGCGCTTCGTTTTCCGATATCTCTTCCGAGATAGCTGTATCGATACCCTGCGCGAGAACGAGAGACCCGGGGATATTATTCTTCGCCAATTATGTGCTACGAAAATTCGCCGACGTCGGAATGATATAGGCAGCTGCTCTACCCAAGAGAAGAGACAGATATCGACGAACAACAGTCGAGTTCTAATAAAGTTTGGACTTGTTTGCCGACTAAAAGCACCTCCGGAATACACGAAAGAGCAGAGACTTACTCGTCGCTGTACTTGGTCGAGAGTTTCCGTGCCGTCGCGGTTGACTTACAGCGGACGTTCAATTATTGGGACCGATAACTCGATTAGTAGGAGGAAGAATCGACTGAGGAATCCACCGGAGAAATTATTTGCGCTCGTGTCGCTCGCTCGCGAGTGGAGAGTCTCGCGAGACGCCAACGCCAAGAGCTTCAACGACTGAATGATCACAGACGGCAAGATTCCGATGCTGAGGAAAGTCCAAGTAACGAGGAACGACAAAGCTATAGAGTAAAAGCTGCGTTAGCAAAAATCGAATAGACGCTCATAAAGATACGACGGAAATTGGCGGCGCGCTCCTCCTCCTCCTCCTCCTCCTCCTCCCGATTTCAAATTCAGCTTCAGACGACTCGTTCGCGCGCGTTATGCTGCGCGACCGTGCCGCATCCGTGCCGCCGGCAATGATACGAGGCTCGAAGAGCCGTACGCGGACGAGTTTCCCGATGGCGCGAGAAACCTGACGCAGGAAGCGGCAGCGATCCTCTCGAGATCGAATTAGCGCGACAGGTGATCGTGTGTATGAAGCAAGCGTTATTAGTGAAAGTCGCCGGCGCGTACTTACACGGCACGGTGCAAACATCAGCGCGCGGACTGGCGTGCGATATTCCCGACGAAAGTCGCGAACTGGTAAAGAGGGTCAGCAGCAAGAAGGCAAGATCAAGAGATCTTCAGTCGGCCGTAGGAGAAAGGGAAAAATGCTCGAGTGAAAATGACAGGCGGCCCTGGTGGCGTTCGAATTTCGACACGCGACGTCGCGGGAGATCCTTGCGGGTGGAAGGTGGTTTGAACTGCGTCGCGGGCGTTTCTTGGGGACTATTCTTCTCCTTCCCTCCTCTCCGATGAGTGTCGCGGACGGAAAGAAGTCGCGGTACCTGAGCGGGAATTGCTCGTCGGAAGAATAGATTCGAAGAAGATAAACGAGAGCGCGCTGAGTAAGAATGCTTGAGAGTTATTAGGAGCGAAAGGATTCTACGAACACTTACATTCGGATACTTTGCGAAGTCGTCTCTCTCTTTCTCTCTCTCTCTCTCTCTCTCTCTCTCTCTCTCTCTCTCTCTCTCTCTCTCTCAGCATCGATGGTACGCATGAAAAACATACATGAAAAACCGCTGATAAAGAGGGATCGACGACGAAATTTCCCCGATGGAAATCTTGCGACGTTCTCCGTTTCCGTGGAAGCGAGGAGATCTCAAGTCATCCGTGTTCATTGACCTTATTTAGACTTTTTCCTCCGAAGAGACGTGAACACGACTTGATATTTCAAATTCGCGAGAAATAATTATACGCAAAGTTAGTAACGTCACCTGATAAGAACGGCAATTTCCACTTGCATTTAGCGGTTAGTTAACGATCGCCGTTGTCACCGACGTCATTGCGTAAAATTAAGTGCAAAGGTGTAGTAAAGTTTCGTGTTTCTCTCTTTCGAGTTCCATGGAGTTTCTCTGCCGTGTCTAAGACACTCTCAGTCTTACCAGAAGAAATGTCGAAACAAAACCCGTTCAATCGCTCGTTGCGTACATAGACGTGTAATTCTCGGGAGGACTGATAGAAACTCGTTCGCGTGGAAAAGTACCGAAAACAGGGCGCATTTGATCAAGGCCATTTGTATCGTTTCATAAGACGACATCGCCAGATTCGTATCTTCTCGTATCGTCTCTTTAAAAAGAGACCAGACGAAATTATTTGCGCTCAGCTCTTTGCTCGCAGATCAAAAGATCAAAAGACTGGAAGGTCCGTTCGCCGTGGCACTATCTCGTTCGGTCGCTACGAAATATTTCACTGCTTTGACAAATAAACTCGACCGAATTCGCGGCGAGCAAGGAGACGACTCCTTTGAAGCATCGTTCGCCGAAAACAAATGTCAATTGAAAGCTACGGAAGCGTAACACGAGGTGTGAACATCGATCGCTCGCGGCCCGCGATTGGTCCTGGATATTGAAATACCGGCTGCGGGCCTTCTTCTTTTCGGACGGCCATTAGAATGACAATGAGTCTGGCTCGCTCTTCTTCTTGTTCTTCTAAAGCGACCGTGTGACGAAACAAACGCGGGGCGGACTTACAGAATCCGCTGGTCCTACGTCTCAATTATAGCTCTTTCGCAAGACGCAATTCCCGAAACGTAGAGAACACACGGAGGGATGCGAACGAGCCTCTCTCGCAGTTGCAGACTCGTGGCCGACCAGCAACGTGCGACGCGCTCTCGCAGGAGGACGATCTGATCCCATCGGTGCTGGCTGGATCCAGCGAACTGGAGCGTGAGGGCCAGACTCCCCGTCGTCATCCCGGTTATCCGACCGGAAACGGGCCCGAAGAGTTTCCCGCGTTTCCCGCGTTTCTCGCTTCGTCGATGCACAAAGAGCTCTCGTGACGAAAGCAGGCCGATCGAGCGTGACGAGAATTGTCCATGGTGAGAAAATGACGCCAGACTGCCGAACGATTGTCCTTCTCCATTGAAGGGTCATCATCATTTATGTGCAAACAACGAGACCTCGAGGAAGGACCACCGGATATAAATCAGAGAGGTGAACCAGAGGTGTGAACTTTCCCGCCGGTGGCGACCGATGAGTGGCGACATCAGGTTTGTTTCCTATCGCTGGCCTGGCTGCATTCTTTTATATATCGTAGATAAGCTGCGTAACGATAACAAAACTATCGTTAACTCCAATAATGAGTTAAAGTATCGCGCCACTGGGGCTGTATTCCGTATTCCTGCATATCGACAGTTGTCGGTGTCCTTAGCGGCATTGCGCAGGTGTCATTAGCAGCATTACGCAGGTTTCTCATATAACAAACAAGTACGGTGTGTCTCGCATTAAGTGCGAGAGCCAAGCGACGCGCACGGGCCTCGAGACCGACCGTGTCTCTTTACGAAAAGCACCTAGTTGATCGGAGGCAAGATTATCGTACCGTCCAAACGGCTAATCTCATTGAGTTCTAAGTAAGTTCAACCGATTCCTTAAGGTCGACTTACATAACAAAACTTTCTTTATTTTTTTCCTATGTGCACTGTAAGTCGAGAATTTTTACTATAAAGTTTGAATCGCAAATTTCTCACGATTAAGAAACGTCGTCCAAAAAATGTCCAGTTACATACCTTCCTCCGTTGGATGGCACTACAGGCAGTGTTTTTGTCTAAATTTTATCTTTTACTTTTCATTGTTTTATTATTTTGTTTTATTGTTTTATTGTTTTATTTGCTTTCGTTGCTTCGTTGTTCATGTCTTGTACAACATATTTTCGCATTATCAGTTGGCCTAACTTTTTGATTTCATTACTTTTTTTTTCAAATAGATTAAAAAGTAACATTTTTTGTACAAACTTGCATCAATAACTCTTCCTGAATATTGTTTTCCATGCAATGAAATAATTTTTGGGAAGTTAAAATATAACATCCCATATTATCTTCCTGGTCCTTATTTTTTTATAACATTTTTTTAAATCTATATTTGCGAAACCAACGCTACGCGTGTACTTGGGGCTTTTTTTTCTTTTTTTTTTTAAACTATACTGCTAACGACACCGACAACTATCGGTACGCGAATACGGAATACAGCCCGTGTAGCGCGATTCTTTAACTCGTTATTGGAGTTAACGACAGTTTCGTTATCGTTGCGCAGCTTTTCAACGGTATACAAATACCGTAAAAGCTTTTGTATACCGGAGAAAATCGCTAAAAAGAAACGGGGCTACGGGAAGAAGGCTTTTGTATACGAATTTCTACGGTATACAAAAACTGCGCAACGATAACGAAAGTGTCGTTAACTCCAATAACGAATTAAAGAATCGCACCACTGATCCTGTCTTCCTTTTCTTTCTCAATAAAACGTCTCCACTGTATACTTGTCTCTTTGCAAGTTCCGAAAGTGTACACCGCTTCAGCAGTAGAAAACAAACCTTCTTCGCGAGGATGACGCGCCTTTCCGTTGTCGCACATTGGCTTGTCCTGCTTTTGGGCATCTCCCTGGTGACGATCGAAGCCGCGACAGGATACAACGTCCTGCTGGCCACCATGGGTGGCACCAAGTCCCACACGGTGCCCTTCATCGCCCTCGGTACGAGCCTGAGGTCGCGGGGCCACAATGTCACGATGCTGAGCGCTTTCTCCGGTCCAGCGGCGAATAATGGTCTTCACGAACTGGTGCCGTCCGTTCTCGAGGTGATTTATGACCACCATGCGGCCCCCGCCATGCCCTCGCAACCGGCAAAACCGCAATCCCCGAAATTACCGAGGCCCGTCGTTTCCGTTTCTACCGTTTAACCGGCTTGCCCCGTTGCTCGTCATCCGACAATTAATCTCATTACGCGCATCATAATTTATTACACCTGCGCGCGCGCGCGCGCGTGCGAGAGTGAAAGAGAGAGGGGGGAGAGAGTTTGCTCTTCACCTTCATCCCGTTGCGCAGCTCTCCGTAGCCCCGTTTCTTTTTAGCGATTTTCTCCGCGCTCTTGATCGCTGAGCCTGCTAGAAGCAATCTGCTTCTTTGCATCTCTAAATATTAGCTTTCTTTGCTTCTCTAAATATTAATAACTATCGTCGTCTGCCGGCAGACGGGTGCCGGCAGACGGAATTAGAATCGAGGGTTTTGATGTCGTCGTCGGAAATATGTTCAAGCATCGAGAATATATATCTTTACCCTTTAATTAATTTATATCATATACCCTTCCCTCAGAAATCGCCATATGCAAGTCAAATCGCCATAATTGACAACAATGAGGATAAATGAATATGCTAACGAAAAAGCGCCAGTGAACGCTAATGAACGTACACGCGCGTAACGAGTCGCGTAAATAAGGATAAATCCTCGCGGCTCTGTAAAGTCTGGACTCGTATTGTCGAAGATACAACTTTACAGGAAAGACAAGAAGAGACAAACAAAAATTTGTCTCTCGGAAGCGAAGGTTCGCGAACTCTCGCCACAAAAGATCTCCTTTCGGCGACTCTGTGGACATTCAGCAGTTTTCTAAATAAAGCCAAACAGAAGCTCCAAACTCACACAAGCTCGACGGCGTTGGCGTTACATTTATTCCCCCGCGATTTCCCCGTTGATTTCCCTGCGAAACGATATTCGAGGACGAGCGAGTTCGGTTCGTGGAACTTTGCAATCGCGTGGAGCGTTTTACGTTGCTTGCGCGCGGCGCGGCGCGAGGAGCTCGAAAGGGGCTTGAAATCGGCCCGACCGCGGATCCATCCGGATGTTTGACTCAAACCGCGCGTTTTTTCACGGCAGGCCTTCGTGGAGAATTTCACTTCCGAGTGGGACCTGGTGGGCGCCCGGTTCAGAAACGAAGTCCCGATTTTGCCGTGGGACGTCATAAGGTACGCCTGGAAGTCGTGCGACTCGCTGCTGCGCGACGCCAAGTCGATAGCCGGCCTGAGAAAACCGGACGGCGATCCGCACCATCGATGGGACGTCGCGGTGCTCGACGGTGCTTATCCCGAGTGCCTGTTGGCGATCCTCCACGGCGAGAACATACCGACGATAATGCTGAACACGGTAATCAGCCGCGTTTACGACGGCGCGACGCGATGATCGATTCGTGCTGCTGCTGTTAAACGGACTCACGTAATACGGTTGATAAACACTAGTCGAACACATCAGTCATCGTGATGCAGCCTCGCTCCGTGGCTGAGTAATTGATTGATTTTTATCAGTTCATGACTCGGCTGTATAATTTATGGCTGTTCTTCGTGCGATCTACAATCGTGTCTAACGTGTCGTGAGTTCGATACGCGATGATCGAACGCGATTTCGAATTCTCGACCGAGATCGAGGAGAGACCGCTTTCCTCGATTCGCTTCGAGCCGCAGGCTTGTCTTGTTTTAAACTCGGCTTTCAAGTATTTTTAGAGATGCGACGTTATCTCCCGCAGGTCGCATTATACAGCGGATCTATCGCGCAACAAGGCAACCCGTCGCCATGGTCAGTGACACCTTTCTTCGGCGGGCCGATTACGCAAGACATGACCTTCTTCCAGAGAGTCCTAAACGCGGCGGCCCTACTTGGAATGAATTTGATGCATTGGTTCACAGTTACGGTCTTCCTGCGACCGACTCTACAGAGATACCTCGGTGAGCGGCGGCTGTCAACTACGCATCTCGTGGCTCGACGTAAATTCCCAACGCCATAAAGATCGCATGCTAATCACCGAACTTTACCCTTCATCATGTCAAGAGAAAAGAGAAGAAAAGAAAAGAAAAAAAAAAAACGAACACGAGGCCACGGAGGCGGACTCGCGAATATTTATTCATCGCCAGGCGCTCTGTCGCGTAATTTAATGACCATGATGTTATTTCGCTCTTACAGGTAGCCAAATACCCGACCTGTACAGTCTGACGAAAGAGGTTCCCTTGACACTGCAGAACAATCACTACAGCGTAGGAGATTCCGTGCCTTACATGTCGAACGTCGTGAACGTGGCGTGCCTTCACTGTAGGCCGGCGATGCAATTAAGCTCCGACCTGGACTCTTTCCTACAACGTGGTAATTTCGCGCGTGCGAATTTCCCTGTCCCCTCTCGCGCGTTTCTTGTCTCCCCCTGCTTTACGTGCCTGCGACTTAACCCGGTCAAAACCTATCCGAACGAGCGATAAGCTTTCATGTGTCTCACCGCATCGGGAAATGTAATGTTTTCAATCGGAGAACGATTTACTTTCAATCTCATGTTCAAGAAATAGTAAAAGAAAAAAAATAAATAAAAAAGACCAAGACAACGTAAGCTCATGTTGCGTCGATCTGAAGTTATCGTCATTAAACTGTCAGGCAACTAGCCGTAGCAGTTAATCTCGTCGAGGCCGAGAGTTGAACGATTCTATTCGATACGAGCACGAGTCGAAGAGACGCATGAGATATCGTTGATGAAATACAAGCAACTGCCGCTCAGGATAGCATAACTCCGAGGCACGAAGAATCGCGGTCGCGTCACATCAACGTCGTTTGATCGGCGACTGACGCGGGCGCTTGGCAAACATGAAATAAGAATCTGGGATTGAAGGCGCGTGTGCAGCGGGAACGTTAAATAAACTTGCAGGCTTCGTGTTTGTCTCGATGGGAACGTCGGTGCGAGCTTCCGGAATGCCGGAGGCGCTGCGGCAGATCTTTGTGGCGGTCTTCTCCACGCTACCGTACAACGTCGTCTGGAAGTGGGACGGTGGCAAGATCAAGGATATGCCGGCGAACGTGAGGACAGACGCATGGTGGCCACAGCAGGAGCTGCTCGGCCATCCGAGGCTACGCGCTTTCGTTTCCCACGGCGGACTGTTATCCCTGCACGAAGCGGCTTATCACGGCGCGCCGACTCTGGTTCTACCTGTCTTTTGCGATCAAGATGGCAATGCGGCGCAAGCTGGTAATTTTGTCCGTCGGCCCGTGAACCGCGACCTTCGACGGTACACCGACACCGCGCGACGCTTGGAACGAACGCCGGCGCTTCGCTTTCGAAGTCCGATGGAAATGGGACGTAGCACGCGCGAGTGCGATCGCGGAATCGCGTGATCAAGTGAGAATGAGGGAAATGAGAAATGAGAGAGAGAGAGAGAGAGAGAGAGAGAGAGAGAGAGAGAGAGAGAGAGAAAGAGAGTACGGTAGATGTGAGATACGGAGGACACGTGCTGTTCACACGCGAGTGTTCCTCTTTCGTTGAATATGGAAACGCTGATTTTCGGGATCTTGGAATACCTTGGCGCGTGGGTTAGGACACTATTGATATTAGTTGCGTTCGCCTTTCAAACAATGTGTTCAATCAATGTGTTTTCTCGGTGAAACTCGCGATTTTTAAACGTTTTTCCCTCACGACTTAACGAAACGGTCAAGTTGCGGAATAAAGATTTACAGACGTTCGCTTCGGACGGAAAGGCGCTCTTGATGTCTTGGCGAATTTATCTGACGCAGAGAAACTGGGCTACACTCTGGTGATGGATCTGGCTGGCATATCAATCGGCGCGCTTCGCGAAGGTATACTCAAGGTCGCCGCGCCTCGCAATAATTCGTACAGAGAGGCCGCTAAGAAGAGAAGCGCGCTGCTGCGCGACTTTCCGATCGGGCCCCGAGAATTGGCCACGTGGTGGGTGGAACACGTTGCCAAGCACGGTGGAGCCGATCATTTGAAGAGCTCAACCAGGTAATGCATGTCTGTTATGATTACTGTCATTACGAACCCGTACGCGAGCGCGAAAGAAATCGATTTGATTGCGCACGACGTTTCAGGTACATGGGAGTGATGCATTATTACAGCCTGGACGTCGCGATATTTTACATGCTGAGCTCGATTCTCATCATTTACGGGCTCAAGAAATGCTGCTGGCGAGCGGTGATCAGCCAGGATTTCTTCAAGAAGAAAGTAGACTGATCGATCACCTCCCGAGGTCTTTTTTGGCCAATTGTTATTTATTACCACTTATTAATTGGGTTAAAATGGGATTTATGTATATCGAAAGAGAGCAAGAGAGAAAGGGAGACAGGGAGACAGAGAGAGAGAGAGAGGGGGGAGAGAGGGGGAGAGAGGGAGGGGGAGAGAGTGAGAGAGAGAGGGGGGAGAGAGAGAGAGAGAGAGAGGAGAGAATCTCGTTTCACGGATGGACAAAGTTTTTTAAAGATCTCTAATTATATTTTTACCCTGTAACTTTAAGTCACTTGTAATTTATAATTTGACACAAAATAAGCGGCTTAATTTGTACATCCTCCTCTCTGAATATTGACCGAAAGAAATTTATGCGCGAAAGATAATGCGTGACCTATCCTGTTCCAACGAGGGGAGAGATACACACATATATCGCCGATGTGTCAGAAAATCATGTCTCTCACGAAGATTTTTACCTCGCGGGCAAATGCCGCGAATATCGCATTCTATATTACCCCTCAACAACCTCAACGACTGAACGCAGAAACTTGAGGGGTAATTGCATCGCTACTTTATCGACACTCACCGTCTTCTTCCAACCGCCATATTGCGATATATATACGATGCTCCGCTCGGCACCCCCGATGATCCATTCCGCACCATGTCCGCAGCCCGTAGCTATCAGACGATGTTTTGCCTCAGGAGACACGCGAAAATGATTGTCGGCACTCCTGACGACAGTACGCGTGCGAAACGATCGCGTATGAAGCGCGAGTCATCTTCGCTCGACATTCTGCTCGGTAGTCCGAACGGTTAATCGGTTTCGCGAAACTGTAACCCCTCGACAAACACGTGAAACTCATTCCCGGCATTCCCGCGAACGATAACTCACCACTGGGACTCGCTTTCAGCGACCGGAAGTTCGCAGGGAATGCAGAGCTGCTCTCACCGCGGCTACGAGACATGTCGCGACCTGATTCGCGCCTACGAACTGAACACCGCCGCGATTCAGTATCGCGTCCAAGTATCGACGCTCGGCTTCATTCACAGTAGTAGTTGGCTTTGCTATCTGTTCGAACATGGCTCGCTCAGTTGGTCCGTGCTCGTCGCGTTTTCTAGCCGGTCAAAAGTGAGACGAGGCTTGAGAATGCCGAGTCTAATGACATTTGGCCGGTCATTTTGGCGAATCGATCTCGGTTCGACGGAGGACGATTAACCGAGATGACTCTCGACACCCTCGACCGGTGCGTGTCGCACCGGTTTTCGAGTCATGGCGTCGCAACCGAAGAATGAAGTCCATCGCCATCGCGTTTCTTGACAACCCAATAACGAATTTTGCGCGCAAACGTCGGGAGTCGGGGGCGCCGAATCTAACGACGGGCGATTGTTTTGGTGAGTCCATCAGCTCACGACGGAGCACGATTGAGCGTGATGTGGCTAGGTAGTTTGAACCGGTGCGTGTCGCAACATGTCTAGTCGTGGTGCCACAATGGAAAAGTGAAGCGCGCCTATGTGACATCCGTCGCGTCTTCTAATGCGTCCGACCGATAGTGATTTCTGTGAACCCACGACTGTGGGGTCGGGAATGTCGAATTGAATAACGGGCGATCGTCCCTCAGTGCGATAGATGATGCTCTACCAGCGCGTGTGAGTGCGAGCGAGTGAACGCGATGTTGTTGGTTATGCATATAACCGTAATCGTCCGTCTCGTTCCTGCAAAACCGCGTCTAATTCCAGGAAAAGGAAATGGATACATCTCCTCGTATCTCATCATGGGGTGAGCCTTTTCGAAAACGACGCTCGTGTTTTGGTAAGTCCATCGAGCCCATCTCCTTTACGCGCGCGCATTGTTTTTGTATCGAGTGAAATTCGTCACCACCGCGGTGACATAATAACACAAATTTAACTCTTTACACTCGGGAAGAGGAGGATATTTCCACATTTCCTTCCACCAACTCGAGAATTATAAATGCAATTTGTCATAAAAAATTTACGATTATTTCTCAACTGAGCATCTTATCAAAACTAATTATATTTTACTTGACTAATTCTTAAATTCCTAGAAAAACTACAAAAAAGGATCTTTATTTCCTTTAATATTGTCGCTGCGTTCTTTTGTTTTATTGTTCTCTCTGTCTCAAAATTTTTCATACCAGTACACCTGGCATTCCGAGTTGCCTGAATAAATGTTCCTGCCAACTGTGCTGGCACTCCGAGTGCAAAGGGATTAAGATTGTGAAATCCTGGCTGTTCGTATGAACGACAATTAAAGGAATATGCAGTTTCTCCTTAGCGATACGTAATAATCAGAGATGACCAAAATGGGTGTCTGAACCTATTTGAAATAGAAAATGCAAAATGGTTGGAACTTTTCCATTTGAAAATATAAAATGCATAATGATTTCTGAGACACACATTTAAAATAGGAAATGGAAAATAGGCATTTTAAAAATGGTTTTTCAAAATAAAAATGGTTTTTAAAATATATTTATTCTTATATTTATGATATTTTATTTATCATTTAAATTTAGCATTATACATATTTGTACATCATTTCATGTTTTTATAAATATAATGGAATATAAATTTTCCGTACATCGTTTCTATTCGTACATTCTTTTAGATTATTTTTTTAAGTTAACATTTTGATTATAATCTTTAGAACGTGATGCCTTTAAAAGGACAAGTTTTTCAAAGAGGGAATCCCCCATTTTCCTTCTATGAGGTCTCATAATTAATCCGCCGTACGAGAAAAGGCGTTCTACTGGCGCTGAGCTTGGGAGGCACGTATTATATTTGAGGAACAACTTTTTGATTGTTGGATAGGATTTCAACATTGAAACTGATGTGTTCTTATCTTGTAAATAGTGAAGGGTTTCCAAATCTCTCGTTGTATCGCTTGTGGATGATGAATCTGATGAGTCATTTTGAAACATGAAATATGATTCGTCCTCCTTTTTCTCTCTATTTTCCTTTTGGTCATTTTCAACCTGCTTCAATTTTCTTGTTTCCATTAGGAATAATGCTTTCACATGTTCTTTTTCTTCTTTCGGTACCCACTTCATTTTAAAAAAAGGATGAGCCACTGATGCCAAGATGCCATCATTTGCTGTTGATTCGAAAAGGAAAAATTGCTTGAACCTTAGTTTTAAATTTCTGTCAATTACTTCGATTAAATGACTACAATATGTAGGCTTTTCTAGTTTCAGAGACGAAAGAATTTTGACAATCCTCATCAATTGAGGCAACAGCATTCCATAGTATGTATCTTTTTCTCCTTGTAATCTTTGTATGGCTTCAGCTATCGGTTTCAAACATTTGACATATTCGCTCAAAAATTCTAGATCTGTTTCCTTAAAAAGCGGAAGTTTTAAATTTTTTAGTGTTTCGTTCAAATGTTCCTTTACAATTAAGAGATCGTTCACTGAGTCGTAATAAAAATTCCATCTTGTCGGGCATGGAAAAGTAGAAGATTTTCCTGTTGTATTTAAATAAATTTCACAAGCTTTCGGTGATCTCGCGCATAAATTCCAGAGTGCTTGATATTTTCCGAAAGCCGAATTGTGGACTGTCTTATACGCGTTGTTTTCTGCCATTGCCTGTTTAATGTCTACCGCTGCAATTAAATGTAAAGTATGCGTGGCACATCTTCCGTGACTAGGCAGTTCATAAGCACCTATGTGGTCTTCGACCGGTTCTGGAAAAGCTTGTGGAAGCAAATCACTGTCTTCATCAATTTCACTATCTTCGTTATCTTCATCATAACTGTCTGTATTGCAGTTACTATTTTGTTGACAATCTGATGATATGACAATAGATTCGGACTTTCCAAACATTCTAAAAGCTTTTACCATGTTTGAACCATTATCGATTAGTGTTTTTGTAATTTTGTATAATTTTAAATCGAACTCAGAATGCACCTCATTCATTATCTCGGCTACTTTATCATAAGTATGTGACCCCTTGAATCTTCTGCAAGCGATTGCAGCTCCTTCCCTTTTCAATGTACCACTGTCGATCCAATGAACCGTCATGCCTAAATAGCTACGTTTTGATGATGACCCAACGTCCGCTGTGGTGCATACAAAATCTATAGCTTGTAAAGATTGTTTTAACTTCGTCATAACTTGGTGATATTCATCTTCAATTCTATGTACAAGTGAGTGCCTACCCAAGATTTTGGGTATTTTTCAAAGTTTACTTGCGTCTTAAATTAATTTTTCAAAAGATCTAGATTTTACAATAGACACAGGTGTCATATTTTCTACTACAAAGTCGATAATTAAGTTGTTCAAATTGAGTGCTATTCCACTAGCTCCACTCGAGGTTGTTTGCTTCATTTTTTTCTAGCCTGTAGCACTGCCTCTCTCTTCAGATTTTCTTTTCGTAATATGGGGTGTTTTTAATTGTTCATATTCTTTCAGCACATCTGCATGTCCTTTTATCTGAAAATATATTTAAGAGAAAGAATATTAAAAAATTGTTCTAAATGCTTAGAAAGAACCGTTTTAGATTATAACTTTTTAAACGGTATTCAGTATATCCAGTATTCTATGACTGATAAGGGGACGATCGGGGGCGTCCCTCACCGATTTGAATAGGCATTGGATATGTTATAGAGGATCAAAAAATATTAGACACGTATTTTTTTATATGTGCTAATCTCGAGGTTTAGGGGTTGAAATCACTCCTTGAAATAATGGATTTTTCGTTTTTATCAAATATCTTCTAAAATATGAGAGATATGAAAACATAGTAAATGTAAGAGTTTTACAGTATTTGATGCTCTTTGCGCCTGTCAATTCAAAATTTTCAATATATCAAATTTACACTTCCCGCTCCCCCCTCCACTCATTATTTCAACCCCTAAACTTCGAGATAAGCATATATAAAAGAATACGTGTCTAATATTTTTTAATCCTCTACAACATATCCAATGCCCATTCAAATCGGTGAGGGACGCCCCCGACCGTTCCCTTGTGAGTACTAAACACTTAGTGAGTAGATAGGTATGATGGGTTCTTAGGGAGAATTCATACTTTGGCAGAAAAGCAGAAAGTAGAAGCCAAGAGAAAGACAGAGGCAAACTACCAGCGCGAGTTCTAATTGACATCTGCTTTTCTCCCAAGGTATGAATTCTTCCTTAGGGTGCCGTCCCATGCAACGGAAAAACGGAACGGAAAAGTGGAACAGAATTATTCTGATTGGTTAATGACCCCCAGGTAAAGTTAGATATCCCCCAAGTAACCAATCAGAATAATTCCATTGCTGTTCCGTTCCGCTTTCTCGTGTCCATGGGGAGTCACCCCAAGGCTGGATCCCCATGCAGCGGAATTGTGGAACGTGGAACGAAAGCCCGGAACCAATGAATTGCGACGATTGACATTTCTGTTGGAACTAAAAAATTCTAAAAGAATGAACGATATTATCATACTTATGCGTAATGCAAGAGCGTGCTTTATGCAAAAGCTTCTCGCTGTAGATTTTAAACAGAAAAGCCCAATTACGTACATTCGTTTAATGAGCGCTAGTCATGATCACAGTCGTGATATTGAGTGCACTCATTATATACATGTCATGACCAGCGCCTTGGGTCCTTACAAAGACATAATCCTGACAAAATGCTGAAACAACTTTTTCTCCTGCAAAACTTTGTCCGAAGTCTAGTTTTTTAATTATAAAAAGAAGTAGTTTTTTTTATCACTGAACGAATACAGGGGATAAGGCAATTACTGCGCAATTCATCATCAGACGTGAGCGCTTACGTGAGGCGGCTGTCAGCGCCGCCATTGTCTATCTTCTGTATCCACCCAGTGATAAGAAAACTATTTGTTTTTATAATTCAAAAATTTGACTTCAGGTAAAGTTTTGAAAGAGGAAAAGCCATCTCAAAATCTATACTCTGTTCCACGAGAGAACTATATGGTTTTTCGTCTGGTTCGGTCAGATTCCGCCCAACGGAACGCCCATTTTGCTGTTTCCATGCCAAATTGGTGTTGAATGTCAGTGCCGGCTACAACCGGCAGCAAAGGCTCGCGCGCGTACACTAACCTGCAACATTTTGTCGGCATGTACACTCGTGAACTAAAAGGTACACCGACACAAGGTGCACCGATTTTTTGTTGACTTCGGAACGCGCTCCAACTTGAGGAGAAAGACAACCATTGCTTCATACGTCAGCGCTGTCACTTATTACGAGAGCAGAAGGATGGCATATACGAGTGTCAAGTAAGTAGTGATTGTGGCGTAGACACAAATGTCTTGGAGACTTTGAGTTATTAATTGAAGAAATGAAGAAAACAAATAGTGATTGTGAAGAAAAGTGGCAAAAGGTTTCATAAAATTTGTAAAACAGCATATTAAATGAGAGTATTAATTGTCTAATAATATTTTAAGCGAAAAATATTTTTAAATTTGAGTGTAAGTTAAAAAAGTTATAAACCATAATTCCTTTAATGTTAATAAATTTGTCATCGACGTTGAATGAATATATATATAATGCTATTATTTCCATAGGTGAGGAATTATATTATTATATTCAGTAAAAGTAAGCAGCAGACCAAGTTGAGTGATATGAGTATCTTGTTAAAAAAATATCACTCGACTTGGTCTGCTGCTTATTTTTTATGAGCGCAATAACATAATTTTCCACCTATGTAAATGATAGCATTACATACATATTCATTTAACATCGATGGCAAATGTATAGCTATAAAATTATTAACATTAAAGAAATTGTGATTTATAACTTTTTTAACTTACACTCAAATTTAAAAATATTTTTCACTTAAAATATTATTAGACAATTAATACTCTCATTTAATATGCTGTTTTACAAATTTTATGAAGCCTTTTGCCACTTTTCTTCACAATCACTATTTGTTTTCTTCATTTCTTCAATTATAACTCAAAGTCTCCAAGACATTTGTGTCTATGCCACAATCACTACTTATTTGACACTCGTATATGCCATCCTTCTGCTCTCGTAATAAGTGACAGCGCTGACGTATGAAGCAATGGTTGTCTTTCTCCTCAAGTTGGAGCGCGTTCCGAAGTCAACAAAAAATCGGTGCACACATCTTTTAGTTCACGAGTGTACATACGACACTGAGTGGCGCACTTGAGTCTTCCCCACTCTGCCCAAAGCTGCGCGAAGCCACATAGTTCTCTCGTGGGACAAAGTATAGTTCAGGATTATATTTTTTTCCAGCATTGTTAGAAAAATCCATATTAAATTTAATAATTTGATGTGAAGTTTTTTTACATAACCAAGTTATGAAAATTAATAACCAATTTAATATTACTTTTAATAATAGTTATGAAAAATCATATTCAAAATATGACTTTTCATAACTATTGTTAAGTCTAATATCAATTATATCTATTACATATAATAATATCAATTGGTTATTGATTTTCATAACTTGATTATTAATTTTCGTAACTTGGTTATGAAAATAATTTGGTAAAAACATTTCCCAATCAAATTATTAAATTTAATATAGATTTTTCTAAATTGTGTTAGAAAAATTTATGTTAAATTTAATAATTTGGATGTAAAGTTTTTTTACATAACCAAAATTCTGAAAATTAATAACCAAATTGATATTACTTTTAATAATAGTTATATTACATTTAATAATAATCATATTCAGGATGTTTTTTCATAACTATTATTACATTTAATATCAATTTGGTTATTAATTGTCATAACTTGGTTATGGAAAAAAATTTAATATCTAAATTATTAAATTTACCAGTAAAATCGCTATTACTTTTAACAACTTTTCTAACAGAGGATACAAGGTTGTTTCGAATCATTCTATATACATAGTTCAGAAGAATAAGATGTGAACATTCGTCAATCAAAATGAAATAACTAAATAAGTTGTAAACTAATTCTATAACTTATAGGAAGCAGAGCACCTATTCTGTGATCCCTTTTCTTTAAAAAAATAAATAAAAATGTTCCTTACTTTTAAATGATTTAAAAAATTTGTGGTAGAGACGAGACTTCCTTTTAATGGTTTTGCACATCTTGTGCAAACAGCAGATACGTTTTCTCGATCTTGCTTTTTCGCGTCTTTGAAACAGTGTTTTAAAATCAGTGGCAAATTTTCACCCCTAAGGAAATACATTATAATTAATAAACTTGCACAGACAAATAACTTCTATCTTAACATTGCCTTATTGGAATAGCAATGTGAATTAATTATACATAATACTTACATTTTTCAGCATTCATAAAAAGACATGTACAGAAAATGTCCTGTTTTTAACACGCCGTCGATATAGAATAACTTCGCGGTACAATTTTATAACTAAAACGCTTTGGTCTTCATCTTCTCGATCGTAATCGTTCGTTAAATTCGGTGAGACTAAATTCGTCATCGACGGACAGGACAAAACAGCAAAGCCACCAATATGTCGTATCTCGTGTTTCTCGCCTTTCATCCACTCGAACTTCACTCCCTTCTGCCGAAGAGTCAAGGTTATTGCTGAAGACGAAAGAAAAATATGTAGATCCAAATAAAGCTGTATCATGCTCGACAGGGGAAAATTATTCTCCTCGGCAGAGAACAATCACAGATTGAGGAAAAAAGAGGGTTTCAAGAGACCTTGCGCAACACTACACTCAAACGGACAATAAGAGGCCTTGTGAGCCTGGATATAAATTCGTCTCATTTTAGCCGACCGCTAGATTCGCCCCGGTTAGGACGACCGCTCAAGAACAATAGCACCACTGCTCGCGTGGGAGAAATGGCGGGCCCGTTTAGCCAGATAAGAGAAGCAGATGAGAATTATTAACTCACCTCGCGTAGAGGCGAAGTCTCGTTGTCGACGACTTCACAGACGTAGCAACAAGGCGCTGAGACGCCAAGGTCCCGTCTCCTCCCCGTTAATAACAACAACAACGGTAGTACAGCGAAACAGCAGCAACACAGTATGACAACAGTCAACGCAGAACGACAGCAACAATATAAATCACTCTCCGTCAATCACTAGATACGTGACATGTGACTAAAAGTGGCAGTTCGCTTGTTACGACGTTCGCTTTCGAAGGTACCCGCGCACAGCATTCTGGTTCTCTCGTTTCGTGTAACGTCGGCGCGTGCGCATCCGCTATCTCTCCTACACTCGTGTTATACTCGCGAGATAATGTAGGGCACGACCGACACCTAGACCCTATATGCCTAGACCGCGCTAGAGTCGGCGTCGGTAACTTCGGTAGCTTCCTTACCGTTTCCGATATTCGTTTCCGTAATTTCTTAGTTTATGAGAAAAAGTTTTTAAAATCCATTTTCTATTTTACTCGAAATAGAAAATGGTTAATGAAAACCATTTAAATGGAAATGTAAAATAGTTTTTGAGAAATGTATTTTAAATGCAAAATATAAAATGGGCATTTTGCATTTTGCATTTCCATTTTAAATGTATCTATTTCAAATAATGGCCATCTCTGATTACGTCGCTGTCTACTTTCGCGAGGTGCCGCTATTAGCTTTGTTACTTCTGCGAGCTCGTTCATGCAACGTGATACCCCCGCGAGGCAACTACAATTCCGCGAAACCGCGCGTTTTCCGCGCTTAAAACTCGACGAGAGTGCGTACCGTGAAAATTATACGCCTATCTTCGACAGACCGCACGTCGCGTTCTCTCTCGGCTCTCCCTCTTATCGTAGAATATTCCGACCTCTTGCTTAATGCGCTTGTGTAACTCGAGTGAATATATAGATATTAAACGAACGATTCTCCTTGCGTTCAGTCGTAGCTAATTTAATTATATACCTCTACCTCCCGATGCACCAGGATAACTCCTTCGGATAATTTAGGATAACGGCGAGTTGGGTTTTTGGTAAATCGGCGGGGAAGCAGGATTCGCAGCATTGCGAGAACGGCGAGCTCGAAGATTAAGATACGACGTTGAGAGGAATGAGAAGATATAAATCGAGATTAGCAGGCGCGATTTCGGCCAGTGCGTGAAATGCTGCATGAGTGCTCGAGAAGCACGACGGAGCACTTACGAAAGTATAAAATTATAGATTTAACTCGCGCGTGTCGGAGCGCACTCGCTGCAAAGGATGCCCAGGATGGAACGGTCGAGTTCAATCACTCGCAACTACAAACTAACGACCGGCTTGGCATGCTCGATTATACGGACACCTTTATGTCACTGTCACGTTTTTATGTTGCTGCTTGATATGCGTAATATACGATCACTCGGTCAGAAATCGATCAGGCGGCTGCGAAGGTTCGATATAGCGCGCGCAAGGTAAAGGTAGCGAGGTACAGCACGCGTGTCCTAGAATCGCCAATTTAATTTTGCCAATTAAGGAGTCAAATCAGCCGAACGCGATGACGGACCACTACATAATACCAATCATGCGACTGCTGCTGCTCACGCGAAAGCGCGCGCGTGCGTGTCGGCCATGAATCGAGAAAGAGGGAGAGAGAAACGTTGATACCATAACGTCGATATAAAATGTTCAACTCGGGGGTCTAAAGAGTGACACATATTAACGTAACTCGTGAAAGTTGTGAACGCGTCGGTTCATCGACGCGTTCCGATCCAACGCCGTCCTCGGTGTCCTTAATTCGCTCGCTTTTACTTTATCTTACTTTGTCCGTGCGACATTTTACGTAATTTATTTTCGTCGATATTCGCGCTCGTCGCACGGCAGCGGCGGCGCGGCGGCGCGCGTTGCAGAATCCCGCCGGTATTACAGAAGCGGCGTTATGGGCGAACATCAGCCGGAATACAAAGCATCTCTCTGCGGTCACGAGCGGCGAGAAGCGACGAGCGACCGCGCGCGCGTTGTGAGGAGAATCGCCGAAAAGTTACGTCCATCGAAAACGGTCTCGTTGGATGCGCGGCGTGATCGCGCTGCGCTCTAAGTAATCCAGCGTCGCGAATGAGTCGCCGACGACATTAATGGCTTTGCTTCTCGCGAAATACAATAGCCAGTCTTCCGTCAGAGTATCCACAAAATCTCGCTTGGTCGAGCTGAAAGTATTGGTTTAACCCGCCGCCTCTCATTATGAGATTCGGAACTCGTCGAATGCCAACAACACCTCGGCGGATTTTGCTTGCCGCCGTCGTCAAGGAGGCGCTTGCTAATCGCGTACACCCCCTTAGCCGACTGAATTCTGGGGTCAGAGGGACGAATCTCGAGACCGAAGAATAACGTCGTCTTCATATCGCCGATAGGTGAAGCACACCGATGAGAAGAGATGAAACATTTGACTGAAATTATCGATATCACGGAAAATACCAGCCAGCGGCGGCATTTTACGTAAGCCAATTAGGAAAATGCAATTAATACAACCGGGCTTACACAACAAGGTGACACAACTCGTTCCTCCTTTATATTCCTGATCGTTTCTCAGTCTCAGTCGGCTCATCCGACCGCCTCATTTGCTCAACTGAGCAAACCCGGCGACTGCACGCGCGCGATGCAATCGCTCTTACGCACCTCGGTGTCCGTCGACCCGTGGGGAATCACGAAAGGGGAAAAGTTAATTTTTGATCGACGTCGCCTCGGTATGCGCTCACCGTAGACTCCTTCGATCGGGCACGCTCGCAATGAGACGCACGCGGAGGAATCCGCTAACACGTTAACAGCCCGGAGGAGCGACGAAGCGAGCTTTCTACGGCGAGCGCCGAAAAGACGGGGCGACCTGAGAAACGAGAAAACCACACGCGAGACCGCATATCACAGACCCAAATATGAGCGGCCGTAACCGCGCTGCGGAACAAACCCGTTTTTGAAAACGGCACCTGCGCGAGCGTACCGTAACGAAGCACGCGGCGGCGGCGGCGGCGGCGACGGCGGAGAACGCAGTCGTCTATAAATTTCTCAGGATTCGCGCGGGATCGTTAATCCTGACACCGGAGCGGGTGATTATTCATGATATGCGCTCGCACGAGAGATGATGTGTATTCTGCTACTTTGCGCGGATGAATTATTCAGCTTGTTGGAAATGTCGATCGACAGGCTGAATCGCCAACTCGCTGGAAATTCAATCGATCGGCGAAATCGCCGACCGTCTTGGAGTGCCGATCGACACGAGTCGTCGACTCGTTCGGGAATCTCGACCGATACGAATTGTCAACTTCGCGGAAAAATTCGATCGATGCGAGGGAAAGTTCTTCGGCTCGCGCGTTACCTAATCGCGCGGCGGCGCGTTTTTCGCGGTGGCACGGATCACGGACAAAAGTCACGTCGCGGTTTACCACACGACCGATGATAATAATAATCCGCGTTTGAATGCGGATCCGGAAAGAGTTTCTTGCGTCCGCTCGTCGTAAAGCCCCGCCCGCTCCGATTATTCGCGCAAATCGCCGGGTAATAAAGTCTCTCAACGCACGAAGCAACATTGCGCGAGGGATCGCGGTCGTACACCAGCTTGGATAAATATTTTTTTACAGTCTTCCCCGGGCGCTCTTCCCGCGGCCCCGAGGAGACGGATATTTTAGAAAGTTGCCTCGATCTAAAAGACGCTCCATATCTCCCGCGGCGCGGCTGATTCGGCTGCGCGATGAAAAACGCAGCCGAAAAACCCGCTCCTTGCGATTTCTACGGCCGCTGCTCATCAACGTCGACTGAACGTTCGGGGCGATTGCGAACGTGATGGCGGACAGTTTTTTTCTTTTCTTTTCGTAGAAAGAGCTTCCACTGTGACACTAATTAAACGTCGAAGCGCGAGTGAAATTTAATGAATTTTATTAAAAAAAAATAAGTCCTCACATCAACTTCAAACGAATAATTACCAAAAAACAATCTGCATGATAATAATGAAAAAGTAAGTCAATAATGAACACATATTTATTAAAGAGCGACCAACAACGTACGTCATTAAACGCCGGTTATAATGACGCCGTGCATCATTAAAGAATCGACCGCACGACATCGACCTCAAGACTGCCGTTTCACCTTTTAAAAAAATTCTTTTTTAATTCTACCCGGATCGGACGAACGATATCCGCCTTCTCGGTAAGAATTCGCGCAGACAAGACATAACGGTATGTTATAATCGAACCAGTGAAATTTGTCCTGAATCCTTGAGCACTCATTTCGTTCCCGCTCATGAGATTCTCCTTGTAACCCACCCCGATGCCGCGTCATAATCTGCCCTTCAAAAAAAGCGACGGCAGACCGACAAAGCAACAGGTATACGTACGCGCGCGCGTGTATACGTGTGAAGACTTTGTCTAACTTGAAGGATCGACCGATATAAGTAGTGCATTTCAGATACGAGCGAAAGCGTAATAGAAAAAGCACATCGCATACATGTTGGAATAGCTGCAATCACTCTCTCACGAGTCCAGAGGTTGCAAGTGCGTCAAATAAAAAATAAAATTGCGAATTGTCGTGGCACGATTTTCTGCTGCGTCTCGCGATAAAACGATAAATTATAATTAATCTGAGGACGCGCGCGCTTCGCTTCTGAACAATAGGCAGATCGACAGCCATTAACCGCGTCCTGTCGCGTTAAACCTCAACTTTGATCGGTGCATACGCGAGTGAAAACGATGAAGCATCGCTCTCAAAAGGTACGTGTACACTAAGTGGACAAATAGCGAACAACAATACGAGTATAAGGCGGGTTTTAACCTAAAACGCTAGCACGACTATCCCCAATCAGAACCATAACGTTGATTCGACGTTGATTTGACGTTAAAATGATCGATGAACCATTGAATCAACGTTAATTTAACTCTCATCGACGTCGAATCAACATTGTGGTTCTGATTGAGTACTCGGCCAAAAATACTCACGCAGGATGCAACATTGATTTATTGCGCGAAATAAAGGTAGAGCAGTGATTAACGTGCAATCCGCAATGTTTCTACTTTGTATGAAAAAGTCGCTTTTGACTTACATAAAAAAAAATTTTCTTGCCAGCCTAACAAAAATTATCTACCTTGCATATCGGTGAAATAGACATGCTAATTAGGTATAGCGAGTAACCACGAGTAATGGAGGAGGGGAGAGTGAAGGTCAGGGAATACACGTGCATCTTGATAGTGGTGATGACTCAGCTCAGTTTTCAGGGTTAGAACCTACTACTCTACTACTTCTACTAACAACGACTGATAAATTCGACAAATATGCAGAGTAAGTACGAAATGAATATTCGTCAGCGTTTAACTCGTTTCCCACTCGTTCATGAGGAGACATATCAACAAATAGAAATTCGATGTTCGTTCGCTCAGTGTATATATACCTGTAAGAATACCTGTGTAATGAGGATGTGGGCTCGGCACGATAGTAAATTATCCGGTTAGATGTGAATGTACAGTCGGCGCGAGCGAACGGCGAAGGTGCTCGCGATAATATCGCTCTGATAAGCTCAGGTGAGTCGACCGTTAACTTCCAAATAAACGGAAAGAAAAGCGAGCCTCTTTCTCAGCAGATCGGGAAAGACAGATGTGGGATTAAGAAGGAGACCTGCCTTCTCTCAGGAGTCACGTTCTCTCTCGCCTCTCCGACTCGATGATGATTAAAAAAACCTCGTTGGTCGTGCGCGATTATACATTTCCTCGGAGTCGACGAAACGCTCGCTGGAACAACGAAATCTTCTCTTCGAAGTGCAGGTGCGCCCAGGTTGGGAAACACCAAGCATCTTCAAGCGCACGACCGACGATGAGCGTCTTGGTGGGAGGCAAAACTCTCTCTCTCTCCGGAGCTCACCTGATCATTAAAGCTGCTGCTGGCCAGTCAAGCTTTCACGCTCGGCGATACGCGAGCTTGGCGAGCGAGCAGCTCGCCGCAACTGATTCCGACAGGTTTCCGCGCTTCGTTTTCCGATATCTCTTCCGAGATAGCTGTATCGATACCCTGCGCGAGAACGAGAGACTCGGGGATATTATTCTTCGCCAATTATGTGCTACGAAAATTTGCCGAAGTCGGAATGATATAGGCAGCTGCTCTACCCAAGAGAAGAGACAGATATCGACGAACAACAGTCGAGTTCTAATAAAGTTTGGACTTGTTTGCCGACTAAAAGCACCCCCGGAATACACGAAAGAGCAGAGACTTATTCGTCGCCGTACTTGGTCGAGAGTTTTCGTGCCGTCGCAGTTGACTTACAGCGGACGTTCAATTATTGGGACCGATAACTCGATTAGTAAGAGGAAGAATCGACTGAGGAATCCACCGGAGAAATTATTTGCGCTCGTGTCGCTCGCTCGCGAGTGGAGAGTCTCGCGAGACGCCAACGCCAAGAGCCTCAACGACTGAATGATCACAGACGGGAAGATTCCGATGTTGAGGAAAGTCCAAGTAACGAGGAACGACAAAGCTATTGAGTAAAAGCTTCGTTAGCAAAAATCGAATAGACGCTCATAAAGATACGACGGAAATTGGCGGCGCGCTCCTCCTCCTCCTCCTCCTCTTCCTCCCGATTTCAAATTCAGCTTCAGACGACTCGTTCGCGCGCGTTATGCTGCGCGACCGTGCCGCATCCGTGCCGCCGGCAATGATACGAGGCTCGAAGAGCCGTACGCGGACGAGTTTCCCGATGGCGCGAGAAACCTGACGCAGGAAGCGGCAGCGATCCTCTCGAGATCGAATTAGCGCGACAGGTGATCGTGTGTATGAAGCAAGCGTTATTAGTGAAAGTCGCCGGCGCGTACTTACACGGCACGGTGTAAACATCAGCGCGCGGACTGGCGTGCGATATTCCCGACGAAAGTCGCGAACTGGTAAAGAGGGTCAGCAGCAAGAAGGCAAGATCAAGAGATCTTCAGTCGGCCGTAGGAGAAAGGGAAAAATGCTCGTGTGAAAATGACAGGCGGCCCTGGTGGCGTTCGAATTTCGACACGCGACGTCGCGGGAGATCCTTGCGGGTGGAAGGAGGTTTGAACTGCGTCGCGGGCGTTTCTTGGGGACTATTCTTCTCCTTCCCTCCTCTCCGATGAGTGTCGCGGACGGAAAGAAGTCGCGGTGTCTGAGCGGGAATTGCTCGTCGGAAAAATAGATCCGAAGAAGATAAACGAGAGCGCGCTGAGTAAGAATGCTCGAGAGTTATTAGGAGCAAAAGGATTCTACGAACACTTGGGCCTGGTCTACAATACGTGTTGTAAGCTGTAAGCCGTAAGATCTGACCAATTATAGCAGATTATTTTTGTAATAATCGACTGTGATTCGCCAAATCTTACGGCTTACAACTTACGACACGTATTGTAGACCAGACCTTACATTCGGATACTTTGCGAAGTCGTCCCTCTCTCTCTCTCTCTCTCTCTCTCTCTCTCTCTCTCTCTCTCTCTCTCTCTCTCTCTCTCTCTCTCTCTCTCTCTCTCTCTCTCTCTCTCTCTCTCTCTCTCTCTCTCTCTCTCTCTCCCCCCCCTCCCCCTCTCTCTCTCCCTCCCTCTCTCTCTCCCCCTCCCTCTCTCTCCCCCTCCCTCTCTTTCCCACTCCCTCTCTCTCCCCCTCCCTCCCCTCCCTCCCTCTCTCCCCCTCTCCCTCTCTCTCCCTCTCTCTTTCTTTCCCTCTCTCCCCCTCTCTCCCCTCTCTCCTCGCTCCGTTCCTCCCTCTCTCCCTCTCTCTTTCTCTCCCTCTCTTCCTTTCCCTCCCTCTCTCTCCCTCTCCCGATCTCTCTCTCTGCCTCCCCCCATTCTCTCTTTTCCCCCATCTCTCCCCTCTCTCCCCTCCCTCCCTCCCTCCCTCTTTCCCTCTCCCTCTCCCTCCCACTCTCCCTCTCCCCCTCTCTCCCCCTCACCCTCTCTCCTCTCCCCTCTCTCCTTCTCTCCCTCTCTCTCCCTCTCCCTCTCTCACTCCCTCTCTCTCCCTCCCTCCCTCCCTCCATCCCTCTCTCCCCCTCTCTCACCCCCTCTCTCACTCCCCCTCTCTCTCGAAGCGTCGATGGTACGCAGCATGAGAAATCGCTGATAAAGAGGGATCGACGGCGAAATTTCCCCGATGGAAATCTTGCGACGTTCTCCGTTTCCGTGGAAGCGAGGAGATCTCCAGTCGTCCGTGTTCGTTGACCTTATCTAAACTTTTTCCTCCGAAGAGACGTAAATACGACTTGATATTTCAAATTCGCAAGAATTCATTATACTCGAAGTTAATAACGTCACATGATAAGAACGGCAATTTCCACCTGCATTTAGCGGTTAGTTAACGATCGCCGTTATCATCGGCGTCATTGCGCAAAATTAAATGCAAAGGTGTAGTAAAGTTTCGTGTTTCTCTCTTTCGAGTCCCATGGAGTTTCTCTGCCGTGTCTAAGACACTCTCAGTCCTACCAGTCGAAACAAAACCCGTTCAATCGCTCGTTGCGTACATAGACGTGTAATTCTCGGAAGGACTGATGAAAACTCGTTCGCGTGGAAAAGTATCGAAAACAGGGCGCATTTGATCAAGGCCACTTGTATCGTTTCATAAGAGGACATCGCCAGATTCGTATTCTCTCGTATCGTCTCTTTAAAAAGAGACCAGACGAAATTATTTGCGCTCAGCTCTTTGCTCGCAGATCAAAAGATTAAAAGACTGGAAGGTCCGTTTGCCGTGGCACTATCTCGTTCGGTCGCTACGAAATATTTCATTGGTTTGACAAATAAACTCGACCGAATTCGCGGCGAGCAAGGTGACGACTCCTTTGAAGCATCGTTCGCCGAAAACAAATGTGAATTGAAAGCTACGGAAGTGTAACACGAGGTGTGAACATCGATCTCTCGCTGCCCGCGATTGGTCCTAGATATTGAAATACCGGCTGCGGGCCTTCTTCTTTTCGGACGGCCATTAGAATGACAATGAGTCTGGCTCGCTCTTCTTCTTGTTCTTCTAAAGCGACCGTGTGACCAAACAAACGCGGAGCGGATTTACAGAATCCGCTGGCCCTACGTCTCAATTATACCTCTTTCGCAAGACGCAATTCCCGAAACGTAGAGAACACACGGAGGGATGCGAACGAGCCTCTCTCGCAGTTACGGACTCGTGGCCGACCAGCAAGCGTGAGGGCCAGACTCCCTGTCGTCATCCCGGTTATCCGACCGGAAACGGGCCCGAAGAGTTTCCCGCGTTTCCCGCGTTTCTCGCTTCGTCGATGCACAAAGAGCTCTCGTAACGAAAGCAGGCCGATCGAGCGTGACGAGAATTGTCCATGGTGAGAAAATGACGCCAGACTGCCGGACGATTGTCCTTCTCCATTGAAGGGTCATCATCATTTGTGTGCAAACAACGAGACCTCGAGGAAGGACCACCGGATATGAACCAGAGGTGTGAACTTTCCTGCCGGTGGCGACCGATGAGTGGCGACATCAGGTTTGTTTTCTATCGCTGGCCTGGCTGCATTCTTTTATATATCGTAGATATATAAGATAGAGCTGCGTAACGGTAACAAAACTATCGTTAACTTCAATAACGAGTTAAAGTATCGCGCCACTGGGGCTATATTCCGTACCTGCATATCGACAGTTGTCGGTGTCCTTAGCGGCATTGCGCAAGTTTCTCATATAACAAACAAGTACGGTAGTGTCTCGCACTAAGTGCGACAGCCAAGCGACGCGCACGGGCCTCGAGACCGACCGTGTCTCTTTACGAGAAGCACCTAGTTGATCGGAGGCAAGATTATCGTATCGTCCAAACGGCTAATCTCATTGAGTTTTAAGTAAGTTCAATCAATTCCTTAGGGTCGACTTACATAACAAAACTGTCTTTATTTTTTTCCTACGTGCACTGTAAGTCGAGAATTTTTACTATAAAATTTTGAATCGCTAATTTCTCACGATTAAGGAACATCGTCCAAAAAATGTCCAGTTGCATACCTTCCTCCGTTGGATGGCACTACAGGCAGTGTTTTTGTCTGAATCTTAATTTTATTTTTCATTGGTTTATTAGTCCGTTTTATTGTTTTATTGTTTTATTTGCTTTCGTTGCTTCGTTGTTCATGTCTTGTACAACATATTTTCGCATTATCAGTTGGCCTAACTTTTTGATTTCATTACTTTTTTTTTTCAAAAACATTAAAAAGTAACAATTTTTTGTACAAACTTGCATTAATAACTCTTCCTGAATATTGTTTTCCATGCAATGAAATAATTTTTGGGAAGTTAAAATATAACATCCCATATTATTTTCTTGGTCCTTATTTTTTTATAACATTTTTTTAAATCTATATTTGCGGGACAAACGCTACGCGTGTACTTGGCGCTTTTTTTCTTTTTTTTTTTAACTATACTACTAACGACACCGACAACTATCGATACGCGGGTACGGAATACAGCCCGTGTAGCGTGATTCTTTAACTCGTTATTGGAGTTAACGACAGTTTCGTTATCGTTGCGCAGCTTTTCTATGATGTACAAATACCGTAGAAGCTTTTCTATACCGGAGAAAATCGCTAAAAAGAAACGGAGCTACAGAAAGGAGGCTTCTGTATACGAATTTCTACGGTATACAAAAGCTGTGCAACGATAACGAAAGTGTCGTTAACTCCAATAACGAATTAAAGAATCGCACCACTGATCCCGTCTTCCTTTTCTTTCTCAATAAAACGTCTCGACTGTATACTTGTCTCTTTGCAAGTTCCGAAAGTGTACACCGCTTCAGCAGTAGAAAACAAACCTTCTTCGCGAGGATGACACGCCTTCCTGTCGCACATTGGCTTGTCCTGCTCTTGGGCATCTCCCTGGTGGCGATCGAAACCGCGACAGGATACAACGTCCTGCTGGCCACTATGGGTAGCACCAAGTCCCACACGGTGCCCTTCATCGCCCTCGGTACGAGCCTGAGGTCGCGGGGCCACAACGTTACGATGCTGAGCGCTTTCTCCGGTCCAGCGGCGAATAATGGTCTTCACGAACTGGTGCCGTCCGTTCTCAAGGTGATTTATGACCACCATGCGGCCTCCGTCATGCCCTCGCAACCGGCGAAACCGCAATCCCCGAAATTACCGAGGCCCGTCGTTTCCGTCTCTACCGTTTAACCGGCTTGCCCCGTTGCTCGTCATCCGACGATTAATCTCATTACGTGCATCGTAATTTATTATATCTGCGCGCGCACGAGAGAGAGAGAGAGAGAGGGGAGGGAGAGAGTTTGCTCTTCACCTTCTTCCCGTTGCGCAGCTCCTCGTAGCCCCGTTTCTTTTTAGCGATTTTCTCCGCGCTCTTGATCGCTGAGTCTGCTAGAAGCAATCTGCTTCTTTGCACGCTTCTCTCAATATTAATTACTATCGCCGTCTGCCGGCAGACGGGTGCTGAATTAGAATCAAGGGTTGTGATCTCGTCGTGGAAATATGTTCAAGCATCGAGAATATACATCTTTGACGGGAAAATTATTTGCAACAACGGTATTGCGTGAGAATCATACCCTTCCCTCAGAAATCGCCGTATGCAAGACAAATCGCCATAATTGTCGACAATGAGGATAAATGAATACACTCACGAAAAAGCGCCAGTGAATGCTAATGAACGTACACGCGTGTAACGAATCGCGTAAATAAGGATGAATGTGCAATCCTCGCGGCTCTGTAAAGTCTGGAGTCGTATTTTTCGAAGATACAACTTTACAGGAAAGATAAGAAGAGACAAACAAAAATTTGTCTCTCGGAAGCGAAGGTTCGCGAACTCTCGCCACAAAAGATCTCCTTTCGGCGACTCTGTGGACATTCAGCAGTTTTCTAAATAAAGAAAGCAGAAGCTCCAAACTCACACAACCTCGACGGCGTTGCCGTTACATTTATTCCCCCGCAATTTCCCCGTTGTTTTCCGCACGAAACGATATTCGAGGACGAGCGAGTTCGGTTCGTGGAACTTTGCAATCGCGTGGCGCGTTTTACGTTGCTTGTGCGCGGCGCGAGGTGCTCGAAAGGGGCTTGAAATCGGCCCGACCGCGGATCCATCCGGATGTTTGACTCAAAGCGCGCGTTTTTTCACGGTAGGCCTTCGTGGAGAATTACACTTCCAAGTGGGACCTGGTGGGCTCCCGGTTCAGAAACGAAGTACCGGTTTTCCCGTGGGACATCATAAGCTACGCCTGGAATTCGTGTGACGCGCTGCTGCGCGACGCCAAGTCGATAGCCGGCATGAGAAAACCAGACGGCGATCCGCACCGTCGATGGGACGTCGCGGTGCTCGACATTGTTTATCCCGAGTGCCTGTTGGCGATCCTCCACGGCGAGAACATACCGACGATAATACTGAACTCGGTAATCAGCCGCGTTTACGACGGCGCGGCGCGATGCTCGATTCGTGCTGCTGCTGTTAAACGGACTCGCGTAATACGGTTGATAAACACAAGTCGAACACATCAGTCATCGTGATGCGGCCTCGCTCCGTGGCTGAGTAATTGATTGATTTTTATCAGTTCATGACTCGGCTGTACAATTTATGGCTGTTCTTCGTGCGATCTACGATCGTGTCTAACGTGTCGTGAGTTCGATACGCGATGATCGAACGCGATTTCGAATTCTCGACCGAGATCGAGGAGAGACCGCTTTCCTCGATCCCCTTCGAGCCGCAGGCTTGTCTTGTTTTAAACTCGGCTTTCAAGTATTTTTAGAGATGCGACGTTATCTCCCGCAGGTCGCATTATACAGCGGATATATTGTGCAACAAGGCAACCCGTCGCCGTGGTCAGTGACACCTTTTTTCGGCTGGCCGATTACGCAAGACATGACCTTCTTCCAGAGAGTCCTAAACGCGGCGGTCCTACTTGGCATGAATTTGTTGCATTGGTTCACAGTTACGGTCTTCCTGCGACCGGCTCTACAGAGATACCTCGGTGAGCGGCGGCTGTCAACTACGCGTCTCGTGGCTTGACATAAATTCCCAACGCCATAAAGATCGCATGCTAATCACCGAACTCTACCCTTCATACGTCAAGGGAAAAGAGAAGAGAAGAAAAGAAAAAAAAAACACGAACACAAGGCTACGGAGACGGACTCGCGAATATTTATTCATCGCCAGGCGCTCTGTCGCGTAATTTAATGACCATGATGTTATTTCGCTCTTACAGGTAACCAAATACCCGACCCGTACAGTCTGACGAAAGAGATTCCCTTGATACTGCAGAACAATCACTACAGCGTAGGAGAATCCATGCCTTACATGCCGAACGTCGTGAACGTGGCGTGCCTTCAGTGTAGGCCGGCGATGCAATTAAGCTCCGACCTGGACTCTTTCCTACAACGCGGTAATTTCGCGCGTGCGAATTTCCCTGTCCCCTCTCGCGCGTTTCTTGTCTCCCCCTGCTTTACGTGCCTGCGACTTAACGAGTCGAAGAGACGCATGAGATATCATTGATGAAATTCAAGCAACTGCCGCTCAGGATAGCATGATTCCGAGGCACGAAGAATCGCGGTCGCGTCGCATCAACGTCGTTTGATCGGCGACTGACGCGGGCGCTTGGCAAACATGAAATAAGAATCTGGGATTGAAGGCGCGTGTGCAGTGAGAACGTTAAATAAACTTGCAGGCTTCGTGTTCGTCTCGATGGGAACGTCGGTGCGAACTTCCGGAATGCCGGAGGCGCTGCGGCAGATCCTTGTGGCGGTCTTCTCCACGCTACCGTACAACGTCGTCTGGAAGTGGGACGGTGGCAAGATCAAGGATCTGCCGGCGAACGTGAGGACGGACGCATGGTGGCCGCAGCAGGAGCTGCTCGGCCACCCGAGGCTACGCGCTTTCGTTTCCCACGGCGGACTGTTTTCCCTGCACGAAGCGGCTTATCACGGCGTGCCGACCCTGGTTCTACCTGTCTTTTTCGATCAAAATGGCAACGCGGCGCAAGCTGGTAATTTTGTCCGTCGGCCCGTGAACCGCGATCTTCGACGGTACACCGGCACCGCGCGACGCTTGGAACGAACGCCGGCGCTTCGCTTTCGAAGTCTGTTGGAAATGGGACGTGGCACGCGCGAGTGCGATCGCGGAATCGCGTGATCAAGTGAGAATGAGGGAAATGAGAAATGAGAGAGAGAGAGAGAGAGAGAGAGAGAGAGAGAGAGAGGGAGGGAGAGAGAGAGTACGGTAGATGTGAGCTACGGAAGACACGTGCCGTTCACACGGAATGTTCCTCTTTCGTTGAATATGGAAACGCTGATTTTCGGGATCTTGGAATACCTTGGCACGTGGGTTAGGATACTATTGATATAGTCGCGTTCGCTTTTCAAACAATGTGTTCAATCAATGTGTTTTCTCGATGAAACTCGCGATTTTTAAACGTTTTTCCCTCACGACTTAACGAAACGGTCAAGTTGCGGAATAAAGATTTAGAGACGTTCGCTTCGGACGGAAAGGCGCTCTTGATGTCTTGGCGAATTTATCTGATGCAGAGAAACTGGGCTACACTCTGGTGATGGAGCTGGCTGGCATATCAACCGGCGCGCTTCGCGAAGGTATACTCAAGGTCGCCGAGCCTCACAATAATTCGTACAGAGAGGCCGCTAAGAAGAGAAGCGCGCTGCTGCGCGACGTTCCGATCGGGCCCCGAGAATTGGCTACGTGGTGGGTAGAACACGTTGCCAAGCACGGTGGAGCCGATCATTTGAAGAGCTCAACCAGGTAATGCATGTCTGTTATGATTACTGTCATTACGAGCTCGTACGCGAGTGCGAAAGAAATCGATTTGATTGCGCACGACGTTTCAGGTACATGGGAGTGATACATTATTACAGCCTGGACGTCGCGATATTTTACATGCTGAGCTCGATTCTCATCATTTACGGGCTCAGGAAATGCTGTTGGCGAGCGGTGATCAGCCAGGATTCCTTCAAGAAGAAAGTAGACTGATCGATCACCTCCCGAGGTCTTTTTTCGCCAAATTTCTGTTATTTATTACCACGTGTAGGGTATAATCTCTTGATATTAAGCATATTTAATTGGGTTAAAATGGGATTTATGGATATCGAAAGAGAGCAAGAGAGAAAGGGAGAGAGAGAGAGAGGGAGAGGGGGGGGAGAGAGAGAGAGAGAGAGAGAGAGAGAGAGAGAAGGAGAATCTCGTTTCACGGATTGACAAAGTTTTTTAAAGATCTCTAATTATATTTTTACCCTGTATCTTTAAGTCACTTGTAATTTATAATTTAACACAAAATTAACGGCTTAAGTTTTACATCCCCTCTCTGAATATTGATCGAAAGAAATTCATGCGCGAAAAGATAATGCGTCAACTATTCTGTTCCAATGAGGGGAGAGAGACACACACATATATCGCCGATATGTCAGAAAATCATGTCTCTCACGAAATTTTTACCTCGCGGGTAAATGCCGCGAATATCGCATTCTACATTACCCCTCAACAACCTCAACGACTGAACAACGGAGAAACCTGAGGGGTAATTGCATCGCTACTTTATCGACACTCACCATCTTCTTCCAACCGTCATATTGCGATATATATATATACGATGCTCCGCTCGGCAGCCCCGATGTTCCATTCCGCACCATGTCCGCAGCCCGTAGCTATCAGACGATGTTTTGCCCCAGGAAACACGCGAAAATCACTTTCGGCACTCCTGACGACACTACGCGTGCGAAACGATCGCGTGCGTATGAAGCGTGAGTCATCTTTGCTCGACACTCTGCTCGGTAGTCCGAACGGTTAATCGGTTTCGCGAAACAGTAACCCCTCGACAAACACGCGAAACTCATCTTCGGCATTCCCGCGAACGACAACTCACCACTGGGACTCGCTTTCAGCGACCGGGAGATCGCAGGGAATGCAGAGCTGCTCTCACCGCGGCTACGAGACATGTCGCGACCTGATTCGCGCCTACGAACTGAACACCGCCGCGATTCAGTATCGCGTCCAAGTATCGACGCTCGGCTTCATTCACAGTAGTAGTTAGCTTCGCTTTCCGTTCGAACATGGCTCGCTCAGTTGGTCCGTGCTCGTCGCGTTTTCTAGCCGTTCGAAAGTGAGACGAGGCTTCAGAATGCCGAGTCTAATGACATTTGGCCGGTCATTTTGGCGAATCGATCTCGGTTCGACGGAGGACGATTGATCGAGATGACCCTCGACACCCTCGACCGGTGCGTGTCGTACCGGTTTTCGAGTCATGGCGTCGCAACGGAAGAATGAAGTCCATCGCCATCGCGTTTCTTGACAACCCAATAACGAATTTTGCGCGCAGACGTCGGGAGTCGGGGGTGCCGAATCTAACGACGGGCGATTGTTTTGGTGAGTCCATCAGCTCACGACGGAGCACGATTGAGCGTGATGTGGCTCGGTAGTTTGAACCGGTGCGTGTCGCAACATGTCTAGTCGTGGCGCCACAATGGAAAAGTGAAGCGCGCCTACGTGACATCCGTCGCGTCTTCTAATGCGACCGACCGACAGTGATTTCTGTGAACCCACGACTGTGGGGTCGGGAATGTCGAATTGAATAACGGGCGATCGTCCCTCAGTGCGATAGATGATGGTCTACCAGCGCGTGTGAGTGCGAGCGAGTGAACGCGATGTTGTTGGTTATGCATATAGCCGTAATCGTCCGTCTCGTTCCTGCAAAACCACGTCTAATTCCGGGGAAAGGAAGTGGATACATCTCCTCGTATCTCATCAAGGGGTGAGCCTTTTCGAAAACGACGCTCGTGTTTTGGTAAGTCCATCGAGCCCATCTCCTTTACGCGCGCGCATTGTTTTTGTATCGAGTGAAATTCGTCACCACCGCGGTGACAAAATAACACAAATTTAACTCTTTACACTCGGGAAGAGTAGGATATTTCCACATTTCCTTCCATCAACTCGAGAATTATAAATGCAATTTGTCATAAAAAATTTACGATTATTTTTCAACTGAGCATCTTATCAAAACTAATTACTATATTTTACTTGACTAATTCTTAAATTCCTAGAAAAACTACAAAAAAAGGATCTTTATTTCCTTTAATATTGTCGCTGCGCTCTTTTGTTTTATTGTTCTCTCTGTCTCAAAATTTTTCATGCCAGTACACCTGGCATTCCGAGTTGCCTGAATAAATGTTCGTGCCAACTGTGCTGGCACTCCGAGTGCAAAGGGATTAAGATTGTGAAATCCTGGCTGTTCGTATGGACGACAATTAAAGGAATATGCAGTTTCTCCTTAGCGATACGTAATAATATCGTAGTAACATGTAACAATAGCGCATGTGTGTGCGTGTCTACACACACACACACACAAATAACTACGAATAATCGTGAATAATCCGGTGTTGAATGTCTTTACGACCGACACCGCATAACAGATTAATCCTTGGCATATTGGCAATTAGAGAGAGAAATCGCGCGCGTTCGTGCGAAAAGAATTCCAAACTTTATCAATATTATTTCCTAGGTAAATCACATTTACCTAGGATTTACCGACGACGATTGCACTAGCCACTGGCGTTCCGCACGCCAGATGGCGCTCGCAGCCCGTTCCGCGCGCGCAACGGTGTCTCCGGATCGGCCCGTGTTCGCGACACGGCGTGTCGTTCGGCGTCGGCCGTCGGTGTGTACAATCGCTGGAGTCGATCAGTAACAGCTGACCCGTTGGTCGGTACGTAGTCGCGTTGTTGCTCACTCGTGGAAGCGAGACGCTCAGTGGCCGCGTTTGAGAGCGGAGTTTGCCGAGTTCGGGCTGCGCGCACGTGCGTGTGTGCTTGTGGCCTGTGCGTGTGCGTGTGCGTCCCGGAAGAAACGGAGGCCAATGGTATGGTATGCCGATCATAGCCGCCGTCGTCGTTGCCGCCGCCGCCGCCGCCGCCGCCGCTGCCGCTGCCGCTGTCGCTGTCGCTGTCCATCCATCCATCCGTCGTCGTGAGCAATTCTATGTGACGCGAGACGACGAATGTTCATGTGCGTACGTCGCGACGGGCCCATCGTACGAGGTGAGCGATCTCATTCGACGAGTTGGGCCGCAGTTGGCCGAAAGATCGCATTTGTCCACGTGCGTGGATCGGTGGCGCGTTCTTTCCGCAGTACGTGGTACGTACCTGTGCGAAGGAAACCGAGGCGAACGAACGAGCGTCGGCGTGCAGAGCCGCGCGGTTAGCGTCGGGACATGATCTTCGGCGACGCCGAGAAAGCAGAGACGGGAGCCGAGAGAGCGTGAGGCCGTGATATATATAAATATGTACTAGATAAGTGTGTATATACGCGCGTATACACGCGCAACGAGAGGAAAGAGACACGGCGAAGGAAACTGGAGGGGAAACCAAGCGAATGAGGTGGAAGCAGGACGACACGTAGGGACGCCGTGCCGAGAGACTCGCTCGAGACTCACGGCGGAGACGCACGTGGACAACGTGGGCAGAGGCGTGACCGACGCATAGTCTCTATGCGTGTACAAAAGTGTACCCACACACACACAAAATGTCTGTCCGTTCTGCTGAAACGGCACACAACACCGACTCGTATACGTACACGTGTGCACTTTCGCACGAGTACCGAGCAGCGATCGATCGCGCGCGTTGCATCGGCGACTCTCGACGTCATTGGGAGCGAGACACAAGAAAGGAACAATGTCCCCGCTACCTTACGAGGCCGCGCGATCTTAAGTGCTCCTCTGGCTGGGTCGCGTCGCGCCACGTTGTAGCCGATTTTCGTCGCGTCGCATCGCATCACGTCGGCCGAAAGAGCGTCCTTTGCTCGCTCGCTCGTTCGTTCGTTCGTTCGTTCGTACGGGGTGCGCGTGTGGCGTGTGCGTAGCGCACGAACGACGAACGCCCGCCATCGGCTGGCGGTGTACGCGTTTGCGTGGAGCGCTCTGTGCGCTTCTACCCTCTGGTCGCTTCGGGCGCGTGACGTAATCCATTCAAGCGCTTACTACGCAATACACAAGACGCGGTCGCGTCTGCCCTGCCCCTTCCGCCGTCTCGTCGGCCGTCTCGCTCGCTCTCTCGCTCGCGCCTTCTCTCTCTCTCTCTCTCCCTCTCCCTTTCCCTCGTTCGCGCTCGCGCGTTCCGTCGCGTCCGCTCAATGCCTGCGACCTCTTTCGCTCCCCACCAACCCCTTGGTCGTCGGCGCGTCGCGTCGCGTCGCGCCCTCCTTCTCTGTTTTGATCGCTCGCTGCCGGCGCGTAGGGTGCTCTAGTCGTGAAAGAGAACGATTGGCGAGGGAAGATCGACGCGAAAAAAAGCGCGAGAACGCGACGCTCTCGTAACTCTCGATTCACGTGGGACGCCGCCGCCGTCGCTGCAGAGTCCTCGTTGTGTGCTCGCCGAAAGGTCGGCTCCCCCCCTTCTCGCCTATGTTTGGTCGCTCGCATCCGACGCGCGGCCCGAGTCCGATTCGGAGTTTCGCGTGTGTATGACTAACGTACCGAACTCTAGCGTGTCACGTAAAGTGTAGAAGATCCTTGTAAGCCACGCGTTACTCGTACTTGTCGCGCTCGATGCGGCGGAAGAAGACCGCAAAAGGTTGGTACTCTCTTTCTCTCTCTCTCTCTCTCTCTCTCTCTCTCTCTCTCTCTCTCTCTCTCTCTCTCTCTCTCTCTCTCTCTCTCTCTCTCTCTCTCTCTCTCTCTCTCTCCCTCTCTCTCTCCCTCTCTCTCTCCCTCCCTCCCCCCCCTTTCGGTCTCACCGCACGCAACCGTCGTTGTTGTCGTCGTGTATCGCTTTTTCCTTAAATTACGGCCGTCCGGCTGATAACGCGCGCGAGGGACTTTATTTATTCGCGACTCTCAGCCGGAGATTTACGCATTTGTCATTATGTAACGTGAGAATTACACTCAATGCCAAAGCGCGAGAACGGTGCGCCGACGAGAGCCGGAGGACGACGGACGACGACGACGACGCAGCAGCTACCGCAGGCTCTAGCGTTCATCAGCGAGCGCGACCGTGGGGATAAAAAGTGTCCCCGAGTGTGTCTCGTGTGCGAGTTCCGCCCTCTCTTGCGTTCTTCTCCCTCTTTGTCGTTCGCGTGCTCCACTGTGCTCTCTCGCTCTCCCTCCTTCTCGCGTCCCCCGTATCGCTCTCGGGCCCTCACAAAAACACGACAATGACGATGACGACGACGACGACGACGACGACGGCGACGACAGTGTAGGAGTGCGTCCGGCGAGGAGATCAATCGACCGAAGGTGTGCTCCTCCGCGTGAGATGTGCGACGCAGTAGTTGTGTACGTCGCGCCGCTGCTCCGTCGCCCTTAGGCGTATGTGTGAGAGAAGCGTGTCGTCGTGTTGTTTACGTCCCGCGTAGGCACCATTTCGCGATCGAGCCGCCTGCGCGTTTTCTCCCGGAGCTCGCACGTGAATCGGCGCGTCGTCGACGAGGCTACGGGCTCTCTGGGCGGCCGCCGAGCTTGCCGCTTGTCGAGAAAGTCGACGCCGACGCTACGCGTCGTTGCTACGCGCGTGCTCTCGCCGTGACCGCTCGTAATTGGGAAAGTGAGCGACGATAATCGGTAATCGACAGTCGCGACGAGACTGATTCGACGAGTGTCGTTATATCTTATCGAGTTCAATCGAAGGTGAGAGTCTTCTCGGCGGCGACGCGCCGCGTCTAAACGCGCCGTGTCGAGAGCGCGTTATTGCGCAGCGTCGGCCGTGTTTCTTTAGCGAGAGCGAGCGACGCGGAGAACTCGTCGTCGCGAGAACGAGTTCTCTCTCGGTGAAATTTTCCCGGTGAAGAGAGAGAGAGAGAGAGACGCGTCGTCGTGCGCGCGAGACTTTGATCGAGTTGCAGGTGCGATCGCGGAATGTGAAGCGTCGTAATTCAGCGTCAGCAGACGTAAGTAACGGTTCGGATTAACGACGCGCGCGGGGCCGAGAGGAGGGTATTCCGTCGCGCGGTGCGCTTTTTTTGCAAAAATCGTGCGATGTAAGCGGATTACGCCGGGGGCCCCAACGTTTTCTACGCCGGAACCTTCGGCTGCGACGGGCTAGACCTGTGGTGGTGATACTCTTTTTGCGCGGCATTGCGTAAGATTGCCGTACCTCCACCCCCTTGCATTAGCATTGTACCGCGCAATAGGTCTCCCTCTCTCTTTCTCATTGTTTCTGTCTCTTTCTACGTGCGCGAGCAGCGAAACGACGACGCACGTCGAAAAGCTTTTTCACTAAAACGAAAACTGCGACGTTGTGCATCCGCGAGATAACGAGGAAATATGCACGCGAGCGAGTGCCGCGTCGGTCAAATTTGAAATTAGCATACGCGCACGCGAGATAAATTTTTAAAACACGGGCTGCGCGTTTCAGCGCTGAAAACTTGGGACGCGATTTTCCGCGTACAAATGAGAAGCTGCCGGTTTAACTGTCGATGCGTAAAAATATTCTGATACGCCTACGAAGCCGCGCGCACTTCCTCGAAACAATTGATCGTTTATAGAGCCACGAGTATAGGTCAGAGAGCGAGGAATCACTTAGTGTAATCGCTAATATATTCCTACGCTATCATTTGACAAGTGTCGTAATTGCAAATAAACGCGCTAGTCGCTAGGCGTGTTTTCCTCTTCTTTTCCGACTTGGTTGGAAAACAATCGGGACTCTGTCTCATTCTCCTTCCCTCTCCTTCCGCTCTCACTGGCGTTTTGCGACGCGCCTGTTCTGTTTTCAACTTATCGAAAAGCCCATGAATAATTTATGCCGTTCGGCTTGCAAAATGCGCAACGCAGCGAATGCAATCCCGCGGCTTCGCGAATTTCGGCCCGGAAAGCACAATATGCGGCGCACGGCGTATCGATTTGTACGGTGACGGTGTACGTCGGTGGCGCACACTTACGCAATAATCGACGAAACAAACGGCTCTGCCGTAATTAAGAACGATAATCGGCTCTCGTGTGTTCTCGTGAACGCGTCGTGATTTGATAGGTGCAGAGAGCAAATTAAAAGTCTCGGCGAACTGCTGTGCCTCCAGAACACACGCACGCACGCACGCACGCACGCACGCACGCACGCACGCTGTAAAGCCGCGCAAATTCTCTCGCCCGACCGTTTGTTCGAAATCAAGTTCGAAATCATCTCGATTCGACGGCCGGCGGGACGAATCTGTCGGCGATCTCAATGCGAAAATAGAATGCAGGTACACCCGTCCCCGTTGCGATTCAGCTTCGCACATGGCCGATAATATTTTTCCGATATACATTCCCCGGATATGACACGCGCCGAGAGTTATCAAGCGCGACCGTGTTTCCTCGCGCTCGCGTACGGTATGAATGTCCGTTAATTACATATCGCATAACGCGTTGAAATCGATCGCGTTAAGTGCGCGGCCGGGCTTATTAACGAAATTCGAGGCTAATCTCCGCAGCGGTCCGCGCCGGAGGTGTGGCCTGAATATACACGAGACTTTGAAGCATCGATATATTATCGAAGTCGGACAATGCCGTCGGCGCGCAACAACGTTTAACGCAACATCAATAGCGCGCGAATTGCGCTCGCGTGCGGCTCTCCTCCCGTATCCGTCGGCTATTTTACATCTGCCTGTTTATACGTATAAATAATACAACAGTTAGAACAAAAGACCATCCTTCCTTTGTTCTTCGTCTTCTTCTTCGCTTCGACAACGCAACCGAATGCGTGGCTCATGGCGATAACGCTTAATTACAAGTTGTTGTCGAGTACCGTGCAGCAGACTCTCTCTCTCTCTCTCTCTCTCTCTCTCTCTCTCTCTCTCTCTCTCTCTCTCTCTCTCTCTCTCTCTCTCTCTCTCTCTCTCTCTCTCGACCGTGCATTATCTCCGTTATAGAGAATGCACGCTTCTGCGTCCGATAAGGGTGCAATTGACGTGAACGCGTGCGTCCTAAAATACTGCCAAAGGCTCGTCGAAGCGCGATTCCCCAACGACGATCGTTCGCGTTTCCGAGTGTCATTACGATATTGCCGGTAACATCCTCCGCCGCTTCCTGATGCCGCTTATATCCGTAAAGATACGGTGTGCTCGACCTTCCTCGGCACAATTATATCATCACCGAAGCGAAAAAGCCGTTTTACAGGCGAATACTGTAAGTGACTCGCGTTGCGTTACATATTCATAGCTCGGAGGAGGAATATCTCCAAGGGGAACACGAAACTTGCGGAATTACGAAAGCCGTTGCGGGGCTTTTCTTCCGCGACGACGATGGCGCGCAGAAGCGTGTCACGTTCATTTTAGCTGCGCGCGCGCTGCAATTTACTTCCACCCCGCGGCTCCGGGCACAATCGGCGGGGAATCACGCGAAACGAATAATCGTGTTCCTTAAAGCCAACGAGCACGTACATTCTCGCCGAGTGACAATCAACGGTGCGCGCACAACAGATAGAAAACGCTAGGAGAAACAATCTCGCGCGCGCGCGCGAGATCTCCGCAATCGCACTCGACCTCGTTGCCGGGAAGAAATATACCACGCGCTCGCGATACGCGAAATACTTGATATCGTTCAAAGGTTAGCATTTCCATTCCCGCCGCCCTTCCTGTCCGCCCACCCCGTCTTCCGCCGTTTACGCGCTCTCTCCACGCACGCCGGGCTTCTCGTCGTAAGTACATAAAAAGACGAACGAGAACGGAGGAGGCGCGAAGGTTGGCGAAGCGAACGGGACGAACGCCACCGCCACCGCCACCGCCGCCGCCTCCGCCGCTGCCGCCGCCGCCGCCGCCGCCGCCGCTTGGCCCAGAGTGAAGTGGTAGTCGCGGCGACGACCGTCGCACTAAAAACACGGAAATATTTTTACGGCGACGACGACGACGTCGGAACTTTTGTTCTTGCTACGCGCTTCTTCTCTCATCGTCGCGCTTCTCCCCCCTCCTCTCTCTCTCTCTCTCTCTCTCTCTATATCTCTTTTACTTTCTCTCTCTCGCTCCTCTCTCTCTCTCGCCCACCAGTCTGCCCTGCCCTTTCGCCGGTTTCTCCCACCTTGTGCTTTCGACCCTCGCGTCGTGCCCCCACCTTCGCCCTCTTCCTTCTCCCGCCGCGGGAACCATCCCACCACGAGTGTGCTGGCTCTCTCCCTCATTCCGTCATATCTCGCGTGCGAGCAGTAGACATGAGTCGGCGGACGTTTGAGCGTGTTTTCGTGTGGATACGCGACTCCACCGCGCCTCGTATCTACTATCTACGAGAGAGCCTCTTCTGCTCGTAAGGTTAGGAGCGTCGTTCTGCGCCGAGCGATCGTTAGCGTCGCCGTCGCCGCCGCCGTTGCCGCCGCCGCCGCCACCACCATCACCATCACCGACACCGTCGTCGTCGTCGTTGCCGCGCGCGCGTCTTACATTGTAACGCAGCGATTCGGTTGCTCCGCGGTTGCTCAGCAGTTGCTCCTCGAAGACTCGAGCCGACGAAGGCGTGCGTGCGTGCGTGCGTGCGTGCGTGCGTGCGTGCGCGCGCGCGCGCGCGCGCTCGCTCGCTCGCTCTACGCGGACGGTGGCATTCGTTCATTTGTTTGTTGTGTGTGTATATATGTGTGTGTGGGTGCGCGTGAGTGCATAGTGACGATCTTTCCGGAGGCGTCATCGCTCTCGTCACGTCGCGCCACGTCGTGCCGTGTCGATTCACAACAACGTCGCCGCGTTTCTCCGCCGCCTCTCCCTACCCCTCGTTAGGAACGCTAAACGGCGGCAACTTGGTTCGCCCGTTGATGATTGCCGCTGTGACGTACGCGGCGGCAGTGCGCGCCGAACCGCCCACGTGCTCGTACGGCCCTGAAGGTAAAATCGCGCGGCCCTGTGTTTTTCGTGTTTACGGGGCCGCTACGCGCGCGATAGTCTCGCTAGAGAGACGACTAGTCTCACGACGTGTGCGAATGTGTGTACGCGGCAATACCGCGAGGAACCTGGGCTCCTCTCCTTCGCGTCGTGCGTTTCTTGGCTCTGCGCTGCAGGGAGGACGAAACGAGTAGAAAGGTAGGCACGTTGCTTGGCTGGCTGGCTGGCTGGCTTCTGCATCGTCGTCCGGTGCGTCACACGGCGGTCGCGGTGAACTTCAACGGCCTCTGCTCTCCGCACGTCTTGACCGCGCGCGCGCGCGATTTTCTCGTGCGCGACACCGGAGCTGAGATCGAAGCAGGCCGTCCTTCCGTTTACGATCGACACGGCGCGCGCTTTGAGCTCGTTCCTTTGTTTACTGCATACTGCAGGTGCACTGCGAAATGCGCAGCGCTGTGGGGTGTGCCGGCAGAGAGAGAGAGAGAGAGAGAGAGAGAGAGAGAGAGAGAGAGAGAGAGAGAGAGATGCAGCACACGATTGCGCAAAAGTACAATTTCGATGCGGGATATTGGGGAGCGGCTTTCGCGCGATGTGACGGTGGAAAAATGACACCCGGTGTGGAAAGTCGGCTGCATGACTTTCGTTCGAGCTTGATTTATCGGTTTACTTTTTCTCCGTCGTATCGAGATCGTAGATATGTGTACAGGCTGTTCGATCGCCATCGTGTCGACGGTGCTTGATAGATGAGCTCGATCGGGCGAAAATTCAACATTGTACCGAGCGTACGACGCTCGCTCTCTCACGTTCCCTTCGTTTGCTTGGACCATTCGCGGCCGAACCGCGAACTGCGACGCGCGCTTTGTTTACGCGCAATCACGGAGCCTGGGGGACAATTTGTTCATACGCGGTTTCATTCACGTGATGTCAATCGGTAAGATCGATAAGATGAGATATTACCTGTTTCCGTGTTGGTTAGTTCCCGTTAAATAAATAAGGGCAGATTGTTCCAATTCCTTGGTAAGTTAACTTGGACAGTTAAATCATACGTCTGTCTTTGTCGAAATTGAAGGAGAAACAGAGACAAACATATGATTTAACAAAGTTAAATTACC